CAGTCACTGGAGCCTGCATAGTTGCTTGATTGGATTGATTTCAGGCGGCCTTTGCAAGTGATCGACGGTTTTGTGAGTGGGAGGCTCAGAGATGGTGGGCCATGGGGGTGGGGTCCTGGAAGGCTTTTCTACTCAGTGGTTTTGCAAGTGGCTTGGGGCAAGGCCAGGTTCTTTGAGGGGTTGTGCCTTCTGAGAGCTGAGTTCTTCGCTCATGATGAGAGCCTTCGGAAGAGCTGCTCAGTTGATTGATCGAGGTCATGTCTCTGCAGTGACTGAGTTTTATTTAGTTTTCCCTTTTAAAAATTTAGTTAAGAGGGGCCTTTGAGAACGCAAAAATGCTGACCTGGGCGTGCTTTTCGATTGTGTTTCACATCAATTGCAGGGATAGGCTGCGCTTGGGAGGCTGTTACTGTTTTCCCTCTCTCTACTTATAAAAACTCTCTCTAATCTGTTTTTACACTTTCGTATTTAAGCGGTTTTCTCTCAGCTCATGGGTTCTCTTTCTCTTACACTTTTCTGCTCTAATTGTCTCTCTTCTGCTCCGTCTGCTGTTTAAGGGCTTCTTTTGCTTTGCATCGGTTCTTCGACGGGGATCTTGGTCTGTAGCTGGGATTATCATGGATGCGGTTTTGCGGTGCAATCTCAAAGGTCCCAGTAGAGATGTCATTCTTCGTCTGCGTCTGCTTCATATGTGGTTTGCAAAGAATCCTGATGGATCCAGGGTATTCAATCACTGTTGTCTCTGGGTGGATCAAATGGTACTATAAGTTTAGCCCTTTACCCGGTTTTTTTATATACTTTTTTACCAATTTTGTTCTCGTGCTAACTCATTATCCTTGGACTCTGTTGCTTGCATGCAGGGCATGCTCATTCAAAGCATTGTAGATGTTTCTCTGGGAAATGCTTTCGAAGGTGTTCTGCGTGTTGGAACTATCTACATAATTCAGGCTTTTGGTCTTGGTGCAGCAAAGAATCTCTACCGTGCATGCTCTTTTTATCTTATCATGGAATTGTCGAGGACCACAAGTTTTCAGACCTGTGTTCTTCCTGCTGCTGATTTTCCTGTTGAATCCTTTGAGTCTGTGCCATATAGTGAACTCCCAAAGCGTGCTGGTGATAATCACATCCTCTCAGGTGCTGTGTCCGTTTGCTTTTATTCCTTTCAATTTTGTTGTATTATCTGTTTTGTTCTTACTGTTTATTCTTTCTGGTCCGGTGCATCGGATGTTGTTGGGCGCCTCCATTCTATCAGTGGGGTGGATCATCAACTTACCAATCATGGATCCACTCCAAAACAAGTTCTGGTCCTTGAGAACGCTGAGTATGTGTTCTTCTTCCTTGAGGTTTCCTCTTGGTCACGCTTTGTTTTTTAACTTAATTTTTGTTGTTGTTTTAGGGGTCAAAGAGTTTCGATCACACTCTGGAATGAATTAACCACAATCCTGGACAGTGTTGCTTTGATTCAGGCAGATTCCATCGAGCCTGTCATTATTGCAGTTGGGAGCCTCATGGTTGGCCGTTTGATTGGTAATGTTTGTACTTTTTACCCTTTTAATTGTTAAGCATTGTGTGAGAGATTTTGATGTTCCCTCTATTTATTCCTGTTTTACAGAGGGTGAATACACATGTTCGAGCTCTTCTGCTACCCGCATAGTTGTTAGCCCTCGCATTCCCGAGGCCTATAGCCTGACTACTTTGTGAGTTGTTGATCAGTCCTTTGTAGTTTTGTCGTGCTTTGTTCTGTTTCTAATTTATCTTATATTTTTTTTCCTGGTGTAGCTTTGCTGGAACAAGGAATCCTGTTGCAGGTCTGCCCATTCAGTTTGCTACACCTGAGGCTGCTCTTGCGGATGCTGGCCGTCGCACGAGGACCATACTTGAGCTCCATGATTTGTACCGTGCTGGTGCTTCAGTGGTATGCATGTTCCGCTCTGTTCTCATGATTGTTGCCTCAGACTATGTGTGGATTTGTCTGGTCTTGGTTTTGACCCATGTGTCTTATTTTTAAATAGGATGAGAAGCACCGTTGTGGTGGAATTATCCGATCTGTTGAGTCTCGAAGTCCATGGTACTATACTTCCTGTAACATGTGTAGAAAGAAGTGTTCTAAATGGAGGAATGGAAACTATTGGTGTCCAGATCATTGGGAAATCTCTGACCAGCAAGTTACTATTGGGTATACACTGTGTTTCTTTTTTGAAAACGTTATGTTATATATATTTGGTTGCCTACTTTGCTTTAGAATAAAGACATCCGAATGTGTTCCCTGTGTTCTGTAGGTACAAGATTCAGTTAGTCTTGCGTGACTCGACGGAAGATGCACCTTTTATTATTTTTGGGCCAGCTGGTAATAATCTGCTGTTCATGTCTGCCCACGTACTTGCTCAGAGATATCCTCATAGAACTAGGCAGCTGCCACTTGAGCTGAGTAATTTGATAGGCTAATTTGTGAGGTTTGAAGTAAAGCTTCCTATGATGAGTGCTAATGGAGTATCCACTGGAGAATTCAGGGTGTTCCGAGTGCTTACTCAGGATAATCAGGGTCTACTGCCCGCTGTTGTTGCTTCAGTGCAGACAATTACTGATGGAACCCAGGGTCGACTTGCTTTGCAAGGAACGCCTGAACAGTGTGGAGTGCTTATGTTGACTGGACCAACTGAATCATTGCCTGTGAGCAGTTCTGTTTCTACTCCATCCAGGTTTGAAATTTCCCTTGAGTGTTTTTGTGGTCTCCTGACGATTACCTCCTATCGATGTTTGGGTTATGAGTTCAAAACTGATGGTTTTTGTCATTTAACAGTTCGTCCAAGGGCAAGGCAAAGGTTTATGGACCACTGTTGTTTGAGAACAACAACCCAACTTTTCATATTGGCCAGGCAGCAGGGCAGCCTCTCAGGTTATTTCTTGATTTCTACATTGTTTTTATTTAATTGTCTGGGAAACTACTGACAGATCTTGTGTCATTTTACAGTCAATATCAAAGTCCGCTGGTCGTTAGAGAAGGTGCTGGTCTTGTGCCTTTGGGAACTCAAACTTTATCACAACCCATTCCCAGCAGAACATCTTCTGTACCTGCCAGTACTGGGGAGCTGCCCAAACAGCCTTCTGGATCAGCTGTTTCTGAAACTCAAAATGCAATTCTTGGAAGTCCTGCAAGCTTACCAGACCCTGTTCGTGTGAGGGTTGTTAGTGATGTAAAAATTCCTGAGATTAGGCCATCTTTGCCACAGGGCAGTGTTGTTGATTTAATGAGGTAGTGTGAGCAACCCTCACTGCCTTCATCGGGTGAAGTTGGGAAGGAGTTTGGGACTCCTCAAAGTAAGGTTAGTAAGACATCATCTTCGTCGGGTGCAATCACGGAAGAGTTTGGAACTCCTCAAAGTAAGATTAGCAAAACATCATCTACATCAACACCCTCTTCATCCCCATCGGCAAGTCTGTAAGGCGTTTTGGTTACTATATTATCATGTAACTGTGCTGAAGTGTGACCTTTTTTGTTTTGATTGATCTAATTCCTTTCAAAAGATCCAGGTTGGTGTCACCGTTGGCAAAGGTGAAGGTTGAAAAACTGGAATCTTCAGGATCTAGGGAGCCTGAAAGTGGAAGTTCTGATGGACATGCTCAGAGTCCATCCACCTTTTCACTTGAGATCATGGCTTCACCACAAGCATCTGTCAAGAAATCCTCAACTAAGCGTCTCCTGTACGAAAAATAAGGTATTGGGTGTTCTTACGACATTGCAAGGAAAATTCCAGTGTTCTACTATCATGAAATCCCATCTCAGGATTTGTTTGTCGTGAGCAAAATTTAATTTGTCTATATTTCTTTGTAGAATCACGTTTGGAACTCAAGGGAGTTGTTGCTGGTACTTGGAATTTAGTTTTTGAAGGTGTCAAATCCTCTTTTGGAGGTGCTTGGGAGATTGGAAGTTATCAGGGTGTTATGTTGGATGGCTTCTTCATGGAACTTTTGGGGAACTTCTTTGATGCCTGTTCGTCTTCCCAATCATCTTGCCGATCTTTGATGTCTCAGTGAACTGAAATAGACTGTTGTTTTGTGAATATTTTGGCCAGCTCCCTTGCAGCTTATTAGTGTGAAGGTTGTAACTATTTGGATTCTGGTTTCGAAAATGTGTTAATGTAGGATTTCTATTAGTATCTTTTGGTAATGGTTACAAGTACGGGGCAGAATGTAATCATGTATAAATCTGGATATCGGTTAAGTATCAGTTAAGGTATCTCTGTTGTCTTGTGTTCTTTGTCCTTCTGTTGGCTTAGGTGTGTACAATGCTTGGGTTTGTCAACCAAATATCCATAATGGAATTTGTTTGTGAAGTGTATGCATCTAATGTTTCTGTCACATCTTACATTATTAAACTGTATTTGTTCTCAGATATTTTGATTAAATACACCAGCTGAAAATCGAGCTTTGACAATAAAAATGACTAATTGATACTCTTTTGATGACTAAAAAAAATTAGATGCAAATATATCTCTTTGATGCTAACAGGTTATCATTGCTTTCATTAGCATAAGCTTATGTCACCAATTGAGTATAACTGACAGCCATCAATTTTCATTTAATACTATGTACCAAACAGATTTATAATGATTACATGGGGATATAAAAAGAGTAGTTTAATAGGAGCAAAGATTTAGATCATCCATTTATTATGCAAACAGTGCATCTCCTGCTCAAGTCTTTGGTTCTCTCTCACAGTTTTCTTTCCTGATTGCCATAAATACACCAGAGCTTCTGCAGAGAAACAGTTAGGCTTGGAATATTCGTGTATCATGTTGCAGAACTCATAGAATCTCAGTCATGTGAGTTATTCTAAGGTTCATTCATTCATAGATTAGTATGTATGTCATTCATTAGTGTGTCAGTCTTTTATTCATTGTGCAGCCTTGGAAGACATCCATTCTTTACCATTATTGCACATTGAAGTTTCCATGTAAGGGAAACTTCAATAATTTTTGTGTTTACTCCATTAATGCAGCATGACACCAAGAAAGAAGCCAAAAACTAACAAGGTGTTAAAACGGAAGTTGAATGATGATTCTCCAAGTTCTAGAATCATTGATGTCATACCATCTTCTTTTCCACCAATTCTGATGGACAACACGAGGATTAATAAGAAATCACGCCAGCTTCCTTTTATGCTCTCGGTTGAAGATACAGAGCTCTCAGAAAATATTTCCAGGATTGTAACTCCTAGGGACCCTTACACAACACACATGGAAGGTCAAACCTCAAGGCAAAATCCTCCAAGTAATGGCCCGAAGAGGCAATCTGGCTTCGCCAACAAAGAGGTTTGCACTGCAAGAAGGCCATTGCATAATGATATACTGAATGTGGGAAAACCAGAATGTGTTTGTCGGTTCTGTGGGGCATTTTTTTGGCATTATGAACGGTTTGATCGTCATAGAAAGACAGCTACTCCAGTGTATACTCTGTGTTGTCAAAAAGGAAGAGTAAAGCTCCCATTGTTGAAGCAGCCACCTCCACTTCTTCCCAGTTACTCGACATCAATGGTGGAGCACTATCAAAGCATTTTAGAGAAAATATAAGGCCTTATAACGGGTCGTTATGTTTCACATCTTTTGGAGCAAAACTGGATCCTCGCTCTCTAACAAGTCGAGGACCTTATTCAATGGTGATTTGCGGAGAGATCTATCATAGAACTAGTTCCTTGCTGCCAGTTGAAGGAGAACGACCAAAGTTTGCTCAACTATATATCTTTGAACCTGATAGTGAGATCGACAATAGATTAGCAAACTTTGCAACTCGAGAAGAAGTGTTGTTACCTGAGTTGCTGACATCTTTACTCAGAATGCTTGATGAAACAAATGAATTGGTGAAGACATTTAGGCGCATCCGGCAGAATCTACAATTGTCTTCAACGCCAAATCTACGCCTTCAAATATTTGGAATAAAAATTAGGAATCAACAATACGATCTTCCAACAAGCAGTGATGTTGCAGCCTTGATACCGGGAGATTTTGTTCCCGACAGGGAAGACAGAGATATCATTATAGATTATCAAAATGGAGGATTGAAGCGGATACCAAGTTTGAATCCAAAATTCGAGGCGTTGCACTTTCCTTTATTATTTCCTTATGGAGAGGATGGTTTTCACCCCCAAATCTCATATAACATTTCCTTCTGTCCTCCATCAATGTGGAGGAAGTTTGTTACGCAAAGGGAATACTATGCTTTTAGGCTTCAGTATCGGATAGATGAAGGGCATACATTGGTCAAGAGTGGAAAAGCACTACAACACTATTGTGTCGATGCATTTTCAACTATAGAACTCAATCGATTGGCATTCCCCAGAACCCATCAAAAGGACCTAAGATCTGAAGTGTATCAAGGTTTGGAAGATGCATTCGCTAGAGGAGATATGGACGGTGAAAAACTTGGTCGTATTATTATACCTTCTTCATACACCGGAGGACCTAGATATATGCAACAACTTTATCATGATGCCATGGCAACCTGTTAGCACTATGGAAATCCTGATTTGTTCATTACATTCACGTGTAATGCACTTTGGGAAGAAATTGTTGAGGCTTTTGCATATATGGTGGGTTTAAACAGTGAGTTGAGGCCAATGGTCGTTTGTCGGGTCTTTCATATGAAACTGACCATGCTCATTGATGAATTCAAACGAGAATCGTACTTTGGCAAAACAATAGCAAGTAAGTGTTTTATACTTGCTTTTATGTTATGCATATTTTGACAATGAAGAACCATATTTCTGCCCAGCAGTCATTTATAGAGAGTGTGTGTTGGTATATGCTAATACAACCATATTAGTTCTACCATTATTTTTGTGTTAGTCGGTGGAGGTTATACTGTAAAATGCACAAATGGACATGATATTTCTTTGTAAACTTGCATTAAGTGTTACAAAGTACTAATGGATACCCAAATTCTTTTCTCCAGTTATTTATACTGTCGAATTTAAAAAAAGAGGGCTCCCTCATGTACACATGCTTATATGGTTAGCCAAAGAGGATAAACAATAAACAACCAGTGACATTGATGAGATGATTACAGCAGAGATTCCAGATCCACATATAGATCCAGAAGGATATGCAGTTGTGGTAAAGTTCATGCTTCATGGACCATGTGGGATTGACAACCCTAAATCTCCTTGAATGAAAGATGGGAAGTGTTCAAAGTTCTTCCCCAAAGCATTCAGCACTGAAACTTCTTTTGACAAGTTTGGAAATGTAGTCTATCGACGTAGAGATTCTGGAGTACAAGTGAAAAAAGGAAGGACTATGCTAGATAATAGATATGTCGTTCCATATAACAGGAACTTGCTGGTTAGAGCTCAGGCTCACATTAATGTCGAGATATGTCATAAAGGAGGATCGGTGAAATACTTATTTAAGTATATCACTAAAGGATCAGATAGATCCCTCATTATTGCTAAAGATTCAGTGACTTCAAAACAAGTTCCCTCCACAAATTCAAAGAAGTCAAAAGATGAGATACAAGAATTCATCGATTGTAGATCCTTATCCTCTTATGAAGCTGTGTGGAGGATCAATGAATATCTTATTCATCATAGGGAACCAAACGTTGTCCGACTTGCTGTACACTTGCAAGGACAACAAAATGTTCCTTATAGGAGGCAATCAAATGTGAAAAACATTCTGAAGAATCCCAAAGCTGGCAAGACACATCTGACAGCTTGGTTTCAACTTAATAGACAGGATCTTGATGCTAGAAAGTTAACATATGCTCATATCCCAGGTTCATACACATGGAATGAAGAATACAATGAGTGGACCTTGAGGAAAAGAGGATTTGCCATTTGAAGAATTGCTTATGTTCCTCCAGGAAGCAGTGATGTCTTTTTCCTTAGACTATTGTTGAAAAAGGTACAAGGAGCAACAAGCTTTAATGACTTAAGGACTGTTCGAGGAGAGATCTGCAGTACTTATGAAAAAGCGTGTGAAAAATTAGGTCTCTTATCTGATTATTTAGAATGGATAAAGGTTCTTCAGAAAATATCAGCTTCAAGCATGCCAAATCTAATAAGGAGCACCTTTATTTCAATGCTCATGTTTTGTAAAATACCTAATCCAACTGCTTTGTTCGAGTCATCTTGGAAACTTATGGGTGAAGATCATGCATATTATCTTCGAAAGCAGCTTCATTCAAACACATATAAGCCCACAGAGGAGAGACTGCGAAATTGGGTGCTTCATCAACTAGAAACCTTATTGGGATCTTATGGTTCCTCCTCAAACAGTTTCACCTCCCTAAACCAACAGATTCACAACCTGATGATGGTTCAAATCCCCTGATAAACCAACATTTAAACTTTGACACTGCTCAGCAACAACAAGCTGCTGAAGAAATGCTTTGCGCACTCAATGCAAATCAATTTGAAGCTTTCTCAGCAGTAATGCTGTCAGTCAACAACAATCTTGGAAGGTCCTTTTTCTTATATGGGCACGGAGGAACATGCAAGACATTCCTGTACAATGCAATAATCACAAAGCTCAAGAGTTTGTCCAAAATAGTGATTGTTGTTGCTTCCTCTGGAATTGCAGCAACACTACTTCCAAATGGTACAACTGCTCATTCTAGATTCAAGATCCCACTCCACTTGGACAACACATCAACGTGTTCTATAAAAAAGGGTACACATTTAGCTGAACTAATATGCGAGGCTTCATTAATTGTTTGGGATGAAGCACTGATGACACATCGACATGAATTTGAGGCAATTAGCAGGACATTTTATGATTTGATGGAGATTCCTCTATCTCGAACATAACATAAGCTATTTGGGGGTAAAACATTTATTTTAGGGGGAGATTTCAGACAAACTTTACCTGCCATTACAGATTCAGGAAGGGAACAGACAGTTGATGGATCGATCACAAGATCACCATTGTGGAATTATTTTCAGATGCTGAGACTTTCGAAGAATATGAGACTCAATGATTCACAAGAAACAATGTGATAGTAGGCTGTGGCCTTAAATTTGGAGAGTGGGTTCTCGCTCTTGGAGATGGAAAGCTGGATACAAAGTCCTTTAATTCGAACACTCCTTCAGACTGGATTGAAATACCAGAAATGTTTCTGGTGATTCCTGGAAAAAATCCACTTCAATCAATAACAGAAGAAATATATGAATCATTTGCAGAATGCTATAAAGACACGAAGTACCTCGGAGGTAGAGCGATTGTGACTCCAACAAATGTCGTTGTTACTGAAATCAATGATTACATGTTGCAGCAGTTATCAGGAGCAGCCCATTGCTACTACAGTTACGATTCCATGCACCTAGATAAAGAGGTCCCTGAATCATTAAGTGAAACTTATCCCACTGAGTTTCTAAACACTTTATCATTCAATGGTGTGCCAGATCACGAGATAAGACTGAAAGTTAACACTCCAATAATATTGCTCAAAAATCTAAGCCCCCCAAGTGGATTATGCAATGGAACAAGATTGATGATAACGTCATTAGGTCAGAATACCATCATAGGAAATATCATGGGAGGATCCTTTGATGGAAAACCTGTAGCAATATCACGAATTGTGCTCAACATTGAGGAAAGAAAATGGCCATTCATCCTCAAGAGACGTCAATTTTCGGTGTGATTATGTTATGGAATGACGATTAACAAAAGCCTGGGACAAACCCTAGACAAAGTTGGAATTTATCTACCAAATTCAGTATTCAGTCATGGCCAACTGTATGTGGCTGTATCCAGAGTCAGATCTGCAGCTGGGCTGAGGTTTCTGATAACAAATGAAGAGGGTGTTCCAGGAAATCAAACATGAAACATTGTGTTCTCAGAAGCATTCACAGATATCACAGCAAACTAAGTTCCCCATCCAAGATTATGAAGGTGCGCATTGAAATTTATTCCGATACATTTCATGTTCTGCTCAAAGATAATTTATGAATTTGGCCTTTGAGATAGTCATTAATCACGTTTTACAACAATGGAGGAGTCATGTGGAACACTAACTGTTGTTTTTGGACACATGGAGAAACCACTTTTCGGCGTGTATATTGTATCTACCAAAAAAACTAGCAGGAGGTACTGTTAGCGTTTTGAATTCTGGGAAAGTTCTTCATTTTCTTCCAAAGTTACACAATATAATATTTTATGATGCTTCTTTGATCGAAGCTTTGAAAACAACATTCAAATAATTTTTTTTGACCAAACGACAAACTCCTGGACGTTTTGCAAACCAACAATTTTGGGCCACAAATGAAAATAGACCTCCCCTGCCAAATTAAAATATCGATCCACATAAAAAATTTGGCCCAATTTCAGAACATTCACTAACGTCTTAAACCCTGCGCTACCCTACAATAAGGGATTCTATTTCCAAAAGTAGACTACTATCCACCGCTAAAGATAACTCCACAAACCAACAGACAAAACCCTAAACAAAGGTAAATCACCTTCTCCTTCTAACTCCACTCACAGAACTTACAGTTGAAAAAGACTGCTCATAAATTGAATTCTACAACAACAGAGGGTCCCTACCACCATGGAAGCTTCGCACAAAAAATGCATGACCACACGAGAGGATTGCATGGTCCCCAACAACACCCGAGGTAAACACATTCCTTTTCAATCGGTGTTCCTTTAAACGTCTAGATACATCTGCAGAATCTGTCGTTTACGTTTGTCTATTTCTAGTGGTCTTTGTCACAATTTCAGAAACCCTCCAATCGTCCGCTACTTTTCGAGGGATATGTTTGGGAATCAACCACCGCAGTGTCGTCGCTCGTCTTATAAACACATGATATGAGTTTCGAGAGGATACATGTGGAAAAAAAGGACACTGCACATGCTTTGGCTGGATCGAAAAGTGAGTACAACTTTTTTAACTTATAGATAGATGAAAGATGACAAAAGCCCTTTAATTAATTATTTACCTGTTTACAATATTTAAAAATAACTCACCATGCGTTATGTTGTAATCCAGATCTATGCCATTATTTTAAATAGTTAGTTACCATGACACAAGTTTTGGCACTATATGAGATATAAATGTTTAATCTGGCAGAAACAAATGATAGAATGTTATGTGGAAGAGGAGGATATCAAAGAAATATATGGCAAACTTCAATTAGGCCGCCTATATCGACTTGATGACATTGAAGTTGTCCCAGCCAAAACAAAGGGCAGAGTAGTTCCAAGAGAGTTACAACTGATCATGAAGGCTAATCAGCTTATCTCTCACGTTGAAGAAGACGAGGACAATTCGGAAGATCCAGTAGACTTATACCCTGCATCCTTCTTTTCAATGGCGCCAATGCAGAAAAACAACTATGACTGCCATGGAGGTAACAATTGATACTTTACTTTTAGACTCAGACCAAGGATGTGAGTGCATTCACAAATGCAAAATTACAGACATTACAGCTTGTGTCTGACGAGTCACATTTCCAGAAACTGTTAAGGGCTACCTTAAGGAATTCATCGTGATCATAGAAGATGTGAGGTATGTTCAGCAAGTATGTTACAGTTATATTCTATCTAATGATATGCAAGTTTACTTATATATTCCTCAAATCAATGGTGTAAAGGCTATTGTTAATTACCGCGGTTGGGACATCATCGACTACCTAAAGAAAGTACCAACAGCTGAGTCACACCTTCCTCTAATAACCACAATAACCAATGTAATGAGATTACCTCCTCCAGAAGACCAGAAGTATCAATATCGGTTTGTGTCAACAGTAGCCAGTCACCTCATCATATTATCATACAAAGATACCTCCAAGGAAATCATGAACATGTACAGATATTTGATTGACATTTTAAGCGTTATCTTTAAAAAAGGTAAAAAAAAAAATTTGCTAACAAAATGCTTTCTACACCAATGCAGATTCCTTCCAAGCCGCAAACCAGTGACTTCAATCCAATCATGAAGGAAAAGATCGGCTACCTGCGTTCTGAACGACCTCCAAAGAAGACTCTGAGTGAGATCAAAGCAGAACTTGGTACTCGACCAACTTCTCAAAAGGTACGTTGGCACTCTTAAGCAGCTCCATAGATAAAATAAAACAAAAGCTAGGTTTTTTTAACCATTCCTACTTGATAAGAAAAAATTTGTTACAGATCCTTTATCGTTGCAAATTTACTATCCCTCAAGTTTGGTACCGAAGGAGCATCTGCAAGTCCACCCAGGAAACGCCAGAGTAAGTTCCATTACACTTGTACAAACCTTAACTTTTAGTCACAACACCTTTTCAACATAACTAACACACATTTTTTCTAATTGCAAGACCCCACTATGAAATTCAAGCAATATTCCGTGAAGGTACAGGCGAAGCTGAAGTCATAATGGATCATGAGCCAACTCTGTCAATCATCTGTATGTCAACTGGAAGATATCGCATGCTGGAGAAGGAAAAAATCAAAGCAATGATTGCAAAAAATTGTGCAAAGGTGTTTGCAGGAGAATTATACATTGGGTGGCCAGATATGAACTCCACAGATCCTTCAGCTCGCATACAGATAAGGGTGGCAACACTGTGGAACACCTCGGCCTTTGACAAGTGATGATAAGTTTCCTTGGAAATCATTGTCAAAATAACTACTCTATCTTTATGTATCCTACCAGGAACAGCTTCCCCATCTACATGCATTTGCTATCTCCCAGACAATTTCAAACAGTTTAGGCCTTAATGTACTTCTATGTATTAACTACCATTATTCTCCACAAAATTTTTGGGAAGTCTCCTAGGATATTTTGCGGCTCTAAGAAGGCAAGCAATGTGTATACCATCAATGCATGGTATATCACAAATTTTGTAGCTTTTGTGGGATCGATATTTTCTTCTCAATGTACATGCTATTTCAACCTGAAAAACTATCGATTATCTTAGCATAGAACCTCAATAGGATCAAGCATGGAATATCAAAATACAATAACTTAATTGTTCCACCCATCCCGGCGCAGAGCGCGGGCAAAGAAAAGACTAGTTCACTAATTACACTACAAGAAAAATGGCTTATAGAGACAATGAAAATGTGTCTCTATTGAATACCCATTTGTCTCTGTATTACTTTAGATGCAAATATCACATTTGTCTCCTCTAAAGCTGTTGCAGTAGACTTATAGAGACAAAAATGGAGACAAATATTATTTGTCACTAATTGAGAAAACAACTTCTAATATTTTAGTCTCCAAAGACTCTTTTTAGAAATGATTATTTAGTCTCTATATGCACATTTAGGGACATAAATATTTGTCTCCGATTTCTTCTTTAAAAACAAATTCTTTTGTCTCTAATATTAGTTGGCGACACAAATATTTGTCATCAATTTGAAGTTTAGAATCAAAATCATTTGTTTCGTAATATTAGTCATTCGAGACTATTACATTTGCCTCAAAATATTTCATTCACCATAAAATGTATTGTCAATTTCATTACTACTAGATTGCATTTCCTTGCAGTCTGCATAGGGATGACACGAAATTAATGGTCATTAAGAGCAACTACAAGACTCAATGCCAAGAAATTTAAGTTCATTGAGAGCAACTTTATGAAGCAATTCAACCAATAATATTTCAGAATACATACAACAAAGTAGCGTGTAGAAATATTTGATGGTCAGGAGACCGCTTACAATCCGTGTACATAGGTGTCTAGTACATTCATAACTATATAAGCTCATAATAATACGATACTATACAAAAACCGCAATAGATACATAAAGGATCTACAAAACTCATTGCTCGATCATCCAAAAGTTAATCCGTTCAGGGTAGCAGTTGTTGCTTGGATTTGGTTGTTTCTCAGGACAAGGAGAGTCGAGATCTCTGAGCCAAGGCATTAACCCGAGATTCGAATCTGGAAAACTTCACTCCAGTTGCCCTGTTTTCAACTATCGTTGCTGCTCAACCATTTCATATACAGCTAAACTAATTCATGAAACATGTCTGTGAAAGTTTGAATCAAGAATAAGTAAACATACTGAAACTGTCAAGCATTTCAGCCTTCAAGGCAACCCATAACTGCATATAAAATCAAAGAGACCGGCAAGAAGACCATGACAAGTAAATAAGGGGATTCAAAGGAAAAGAAACATGAACCCAGAACACAAGTACTCTAAACTAACACAGTTCGAGCATAGTTGTGCAAAGACCTGATAACTAAAATACCAAGATTACTCAATTGCATAATTCCAATATAAATGGCAGAAAGCAAACAGACTATGCAGATGGCAGAAGCTCAGTGCATCTTGAACAACTCCACTCTATTAATCCATCTCAATCTCCGCCATGCCAAAATCCTAACACAACATTTTCCAACAAACAGTGAAATAAGGAACACGCATACCGAATCTTACAAACTTAAACAAAATAGACGATGATGCTGAGATATATATGGCGAGTACAGGTGCTTTTTCAGAAGCAGAAAGAGAAATTAACCAGAACTTCAGTTGAACCTGATTGTCAAAGGCAGATGGACACAGAGTGACAAGGGGCGAGTTCTATAGAGGGATTTGGCGACCTGGAGCGGGGAAGGATTGGACAACGAAGATTGGGAGACCTGGATCAGGAAGATGGCGATGATTGATGGGAGTTTTCGGAGGCGTCGCCGACGTTGAAGAAGGAAGGAAAAGCTGTTGGGTGTGAGGAGGGTGAAACAATTAGGGTTCCACACAAAGGGGAATAACTGGAGGGGAAGCAAAACGATACATATAGAATAGAACAATGGACTTAAAAAATTGGCGGATTTCAAATTTCAAACCAAAAAATTAGGCGGATTTTCCGAAACACTGTTGACTTGAGAGGTTGGGAGGATAATTATGATAAGCAATTTGTGTTTTTCTTTAAAAATTATTAGATTGTTTGTATATGATATAATTATTCGTGATATTTTGTATTTGTCTCTAAAGACTATTAAATTTGTGACATAACTATTAGTGATATTTATATTTGTATCTAAAAAATTATTAGATTTGTCTCTATATGATATACATATAGGTGACTGATAGACCGTTAATTACACATGTTTTAACCCCTATTCTTGAGCCGGTTGAGATGTCGATTCTCGCATTTTAGGCCGATTTCACGCTAGGTTGTGCTTGTTTGTGATATTTCAGGTCCTAGTACGTGAATGAAGGTTTGGGAACGAGTTCGGGGTCGATTAGACGAAGTTTGGACGTTTGGCGAGAAGCTGAGAAGTCACACGGGCATGCCTAAAAGCCACACAGCCGTGTAGGGGACCCCTTGTGGCCGTGTGGAAATTCCAGGGAACTCACACGGGCACCCTGGAAGTCCACACGACCGTGTGGGTCGTGGCCGTGTAGGAAGCCTGAAGTCACTTATCGAAACGCTGCATTTTGCAAACTCACATTGGCAGCCTGGGAAAGTCACACGGCCGTGTGGCCTGGCCGTGTGAGTCGGGGATTTCTGGTTTTAAGGCAATTTCGAGCCAAAGGAGAGGGGGAGCTGGGTTTTGATCCCAAACACCCAAGGGACGAACCAAAGAGAGAGAGGGCGATTTGAGGGCATTCTAAGAGTGGAACTGGAGGATTTCTTTCCCTTGGAAGCTTGAGGAACAAGCCCGGACTTGAAGACTGATCATCTGAAGATTCTTACTGCAGTCTCTCTCTTCTCTTTGGAGTAACTTCCCTTCACTTAGGTTTTGAGGAACCCTAGCTATGTTTGTTTGATTAGATGATTGTATGAGTACTCTGACTTGATAACCTTGAGTTCATATTCAATCTATGCATGTTTTCATGATTCAATTCTGCTTTAGCAGAGATTATTGATTCTGCTTTGACCCTATGAGAGTGAATACCTGATTAGGTCAATAGAGCACCAAAGATTGATAGTAGTGGATCGATTGCTTTAGTCGAGGGTTGATTCACTGCTTTGTATAGATTGAGAACCTCTTTCGATAGAGGGAGTCTAGTTCAGAACGCCTTGATCCGTTGTTCTAGAGAAGGATACGTCCCTCTAGGCAATTGACTCAAGAGGGCCTTGGTCCTTTAGTCTAGACTCAAGGTCTAGTCAAGGATTCTCCGCATTGTGAATGAAAGTGAAACAGGTTAGAGATCATCAATCATTAATCTGGCTAGTGGCTAGGGGGAATCATACCTAAGTGAGTTCCCAACCTGTAATTAGATTAACTTTAACTGTAGTTTGCTAGAGTAGTTTTAGTTCTTCCTTATTAATCTGGTTTGCTAAATAATGAACTGAAGCTGAGTAATAGTAACTCTAGAGACCCGTTGATTCGATATTTATTACTTGAGCCACTATACTGCAGTCCTTCCATTGGTTACACTTGGCCATTGTTAGGAGTTGTGTCATAGCGAGTCAGTGACATATAAACTTACCTCTAAAAACTATGATATTTGTCTCTGCAAAATATACAATAAATAACATTTATATTTGTTTCTAAACGCAATTAGATTTGTCCCCATAGGTATGATTTATAGATTATATAAACACAAAAGGATAAATATCTCTAAAGCTATTATTTTAATTTATTTTACATAAATTATAAGAGAATATTATAAAATGGAGACAAATAATTTCACCTATTGAGACAAATAATATTTTTGCCTCTAAAGGCTAGTTATAGAGACTAATACAATAAGAGTCTCTAAACATTTGTCTCTAAAGCTAGGTTTTCTTGTAGTGTTACTAACTAAAGAAAATTACAATAGCATTTTAATAATATAGTTACAAAAATAAATGTGTCTCTTACCTAGCCATCTTTGCATCAACCAACAAAGCTCCTCCCTCTCGTTTTCGTATCAGTTTTTGGTGTGGTGATACTGAAAGGAAGAGAAAGGAGGGAGATATATATGCTGGAGTGGGGTAAAAAAGGCAGTGAATCCGCATGAGACTAATGCGGGTCCGCTGGTCAAAGTTCAGGGAATCTGTCAGCGCACTTTAGAAGAAACACAGCGTCTCCGCACCAGTCCCACGCGGGTCCGCCCTTTTTACATCAAAATACAAATGTTGCGGGTCTGCATCAGGCTGATGCGGAAACGCATGTCTTACCCACAAAAACACAATATATATATGTCAATTAATTTAAAACAACCATATTGGTGGTAAATAAAAAAAAATAACAATATTTTGGGAATTTACCCGCTCTAACTCCTAGCTAGGATATATCTTATTCAATTCTAGCTAGACTGGGTGGTAAAGATAGACTTAGAGGGTGGCTAGTAACTCCCTCATGAGTACATCAACTTGCACTCGCTTGACACTGAACATTTCTAGCATTCCGACCTCATCGAGCCGATCATTGGCTTGTCTCCCCAGCCTCTGAACCAAAAAAATTCTCGCTTGAAGAACTCCTTAAACATGTTCAGACCTCAGGACCCAAGGGCCTAACTTATTCAATCATCTATTATGGGCACACGAAAGGGTGTAAACCAACTCTCCGGGGGGTGGTAAGAGCACGTGTTGACAACTTGCATCCTACTCAAGTCATGTATAGTAAAAAATTTAATTTCATCAGTCACCTTACAGATGATGGTTGAAAGATCCCACCTCCAAGTGAGTGTGGTCCCCACAGGAAAAAGAATAACAAAATTTGTAGTGTTTGTCAAGAATGTGGGAATCCCGATGGAAACGAGGATGTTCAACGACCATATTCGCCCATTGGGCACGCCAAATCCTAATGCCCTCTCATTTACCTATAATTACTACGCCTTCGAGCCCCATTATGAGTAAAGAATTATCTTTGTGTACCACATAGCTTCTCTCTCATCCCTTTTTAGGTTTCGGTCACTGATTTGATCGTTGGAAGGCGAATCCTAATTATTCAGCCTGGGTTTTCTGTTCATGTGCAAGTTAACCGATCAATGGCGACCCACGCACCTTCACCGTGATTATTCTTCAGTGATGACACCAATTCCAAATCTTTTGATTCGGTTCTTTCAACATAAAAATTATTTCAAAGAACAAATACTTTGGTATAAGCATTTGAAGTGACGACGAGTTTGGACGACAAATTCAACACTCAAAACACTTTCTTGCATTTTTATCTTTCTCCGACTTTAAAAAAAATCTCTATTAATGTGTCCTTTGGAGAGTCGTGGTAGAGTAGTCATGGAGCTCTTTATCAATGTGTCCATATGAGCAGGTGTAACTTAATGTAAATTTTTTTCGCCCAGTCGAATACCCTCATTTGAACATTGTTTCGAGAGGTGTAAGTCAAATAACAATCATTAGTCTTTTTTTTTTTTAAACACTATGCATTAAACATACAAAATTTCCACCAAAAAATAATAAACTAGATGGAGAACATCTGGAAAAATTCCTAAAACTAAACTAAAAGAACTAATGGCTTGACTTAGAAAGGATCAAACCATGCAAACTTTTTTCTAACATATATAGATAAGTGTATATATATGCATATACTAAGAAAATTAAAGATCAAGTTGTTAATTCATTTATATACACACATACATAGCTAGCGACGGACTAAACAACTCTGTGACAGGATCTGTGTCGACCCTTTCCGCAAAGTGTCAACAACCAACTCGCACACAACAGATAGTCGTGCATCCCCTTCGCTGAGCAAACTTATTCTCATCCTTGCCAACAAATTCATGCTCAAAACTAAAGGCACGTGCTTTTTCGATGTGCCATTCAAGCTGCTTTGAACCTGCATGGGCAATACAGTGCGATTATTTGAACCGGTTAACGTAACCAAAATCGTCGAAGCTCCAGCTTTGTCCTGATGGAACGTCGGGAACTTCCCTTGCCCAATTTCACGTTGCATGAATAAAAGCGATGTCTGCCCTCCTTTCTCAAATGATACCCCTGATCTCTGGTCAAGGTTCCGAACCCCTACCCGAAATCGGTATGTAATAGTCTTGGGATGGTTTGTTGTGGATACGAATAGGTTGACGACCTGGAACTTGGGGTTTTTTGGTTGGAAGAAGAAAGTTAAAAGGTAGATGATGATGGCCACCACGACGATGAATATGCCAAGAAAGACACAACAATAACAAGATTTGGAACAACAAGATGATGATGATGATGATGTGCTCTTCTTTTTGGAGGCTTGTTGTGGTGGTCGACGACTTTCGGCAATGGCGGCATTCTCATTTGGTGGGATGCGGTAGATTTGGTCTTTAGGGATTTGGACAACGTAGGTTTCAGCCGTGATGAATGAAGATTGAGGGTCTGATGAAGAAGGAACGGTACTCGTTGTTGTTGTTGTTGGGTGGTTGGTTATTTCCATTGAAGAGAAGTTGGGCAACCGGCCGGAGGACAAAAAGTTCCAGGCGCCCGCCGGTGAGATGTGTGTGCGATATCTTTTTCTAAGCAAAAATATGAAGAATTTTTTTTTCTTTCTTCTTCTTGTTGAGATTTTTATCTATTTGTAGAGACGTGTTTTCTCTGGTGAACAATAGTTTTTGCCAATGACTTGTTGATTATCGATGATTTTTACCTTTGGATTGAGAAAGAATCATATATATCAACCTAATTAATTATACACTTCTTTCACCTACATAAAATATGTATGTATAGCAATCATCAGCCAGTCAATAGCCTATATATAAGCATTTCACCTAAATTAGAACATGGCACACATGTACCGACTAACATGATAATATTATAGTGTTATTAATATTATCCTAATAACATTTTTCATTAAGGGTACAAAAGTAAAATAAATAAGAATTAAAATACATCCATTTTCCCAGTGCTTTTTTTACTCTCTCTTATAACATGGAAGTCATTCTTTATGTGATTTGTTCTCTCCTAAAAGACCAAATTTTCTACCAAGTAATATCATTTGTTGTCATATTAGATAGTAGCATGAACTTGATATTCAACATCCAAATCCTTCAGCAATTGTGTAATCTATTGAACTCCACACAACAATTGAGATAGAGCTTTGTACTCTGCTTCAGAGAATGATGACTTCGAGATAATTGCTTGCTTCTTGGCTTTCCAGCTGACGCGAGTGAACTCTTAAGAAAGGTACAAGATTTAGTAATTGACATTCTTGTTTCGGTGCAAGACCCCACTCTGAGTCATTGTATCTTGTTAGGGAAAATTGACATTTGATGGAAAGAATACCCCTTCACACTAAGAGATTTTGTTGTACCATAGAATTATTTGTTTATCCCTTAAATACGAACTTATGGATTGTGCTTGAAACTAACATAATCAATGCACTACATAAGCTATGTCGGGCCTAGTTGTAGTCAAGTAGCTTAGTCTTCCCACTAGAGACTTGTATGGAAATGATCCATTAGTTATTCATCATTAAACTGTGCTAACCTTTCTTCATATCTATTGCGGTCGTAGTAGGTTTTCCATTCAAGAACCCTGTGTCTGCTAGTAAGTCTATACAATACTTTCTCTGTTTGATTGGTGTTCCAGTAGCACTTCGTTCAATTTCCTATCTGGGTAAAGATTAAAATTTCCCAAGTCTCTGACTTAGATGAAAAGATAAGTAGGAAGGTCAGGAAATTTTGATGTTATAGGGATAGTGTTTGAAGCAAAGGGCAAAATGATTTCTAGAATAATATTTCTAGAATCAATGATTTTCCTGCTATAGATAAAAGGTTGTGTATCCTTTGATTCCAAGAATGATTCCAACAAGAATTCTCTTTCTAGATCTCCGTTGAAACTTGGTTTTGCCATTCTCTAGAGTTGTAGCACAACATTAGGAACCAAAAAATTCTAAGTGAGAGTAATCAGGTAAAAAGTGGAGAGTTGGCGAAAAGTGGAGCAGGAAGGCAGAATACCCAGTCAGGCCACCCAAATACCTGACTGGGTATAATCAGAGCCGACCGGGTAATAAGCTCAGGAAGCTCCACGGTCGTGAGCCTTAAATACCCGATCGGGTATTCCACCCAGAGATAGGGTATTTCACCCAGAGATCGGGTATTCTTCCCCTGCGATGAGAGGTGTTGCGCACCGTTTTGATTAATACCTGGCCTGACTCATAAATACTCGACAAAGGGTGGGGATGGCCCCAATATCTACACTCCGACGGTCAACATTAGTATAGTGATAGAAAATAGGGAGAGCTTAGGCAGTTAGAGATATATTAGAGAGATCAATGATATTTATGGGTCAAGCCTTGTCACCCTTCATTGGACTTCCATTGGGTCTTTGTGGTGTTTTGCTGCGCGCTTGTGGATCACCATTATTGTTCGAGTTAGGTTGTGTCATATTTGCGGGTCCAATGGAAACCTATACCAATATGAAAACCAGACGAATCAAGAACTAAATTTAAGAGCTCAAAACTAGACAAAAACTACATATAAAAGGAAAATAAAAGGAGGAAGGGAGGAAGTCGATTTATTTTGTGTGGGGAAAAAAAAAGGCGATAAGGATGGGGTCCATTTAATTACCATATCTAGACTCATGTTCTTCACCATCTTCGATCTAACTATGAGCAAGATGTGGGAGAATCGGTGACAACCGATGGGAGTGTTATCGAAGAGGGGCAGGAGGTGGACCATGAAACTAGGGGTGAAAGTTTGTTCCGGAAGACCCACTGACCCGTCCTGATCAGGGCCGGTCCATAATATTTCGAGGCCCTGTTCAAAATTTTAAAATGTGGCCCTAAAATTTTTTCATTGTAAATTTATTAAAAATAAAAATTGTTAAATAATAATAAATACATAAGTTTAAAAAATGATTAGGGCCTCTTTTCCGTGGCTCTTGGCTGCACTATGCATGATTTTGTCACAATTAATTAGAACAAATATGATCTATTAAAAGACCAACTACTCTATTCACTTTCTTTTAAATTAGGTCCATTAAAAATCAACAAATCCATTTAATTTCTTTTTAATTTGGACCCACTGAAAAACTAACTAATTCATTCTCTTTTAAATTTGGCCCATAAATCCTTACATGGCCCATATAAACGAGTTAATAACTATTTCTTTTAACTTAGGCCCACATGTAATTTTCTGGCCATATCAACGAATTAATAACTTGGGCCCATGCCATTTAAATGAACTAGTTTATAACCCGACCCGTTGGTCGGAGGAGTTGAGCCGAATATTGAATTATTGGGATAACCCGTAGATTCAACCATTAAGCTAAATTGGCCTAATGGTGAGTACCGCCGTGCATATCCCTAATAATCATACCAAAGTGAATATATTGGAACATAAACAGTACATGAGAAGTTGGTACAACCATGAAGTTAGACCATTAAAAACATACCAATGAAATTGAATAGCATCGAAAAACTTCAACTTCATTATATAATTACATGAGATCAGAAAGAGAACACCATTAATTTGATTTATAAAACTTTCATCTTGTCGTCATTGTGCTTTCTGGTTTTTGTCAGGACATGATAAAATCTAAGAAAATCAAGAACGAACAACACGATTTGGGATAGGAACCGTCGTTGTCGTATTCCTAGAAAATGGTGGTAAACACGGACTCACCTGCCATACTGGTTTGGATTGAGATTTTTATCGGGTATCAGGGAACCATGTGATTATAAATTAGACTTGATCAAAACGGGCCAAAATTCTAATTATTCGTTACTTTTAAACTTTCTATTGAAAATAAAAAATAGTGAAAGAAAAGAGATGACTGCAATTCGCCATTTGCACATCACTTATTCGGGAATAAAACCATAGAAATTCAAAAGGAACTGAAAATATTTAGGATCGTTTTAATGTTTAAAATAACCAAATAGATCTTTCTGTTTAATAATATTATGATATCTAACAAATACCAAACGATTCCCTATAAAATACATTTTATCATTATGATATCTAATATTATATAATATATATTTGAAATGATAAAAATTGGACTAATTGGGTTGGTCGAGGTTGAACCATTGAATAACTTTAAAATACATTATATTTTAGCCACTAAGATATAAAATAAGAGCATAATATATATTATGCCAGAGAAAATAGCTTGTATTAGAATGTCAAACCAATGATGTTCAATTGTTTTACTTGATGGCCAAATCCCGTGTAGGTCAGGCCCATTCAACTCTTTTATTTTATGGTTAGCGGTTAGCCCGTTAAATACCATGCATTAGTTTATTGTTAATTTTTATTTTTAGCAATAAAAAGAAGTATTGTTTGTGCCTTTTCATATATATTTTTATCACCACAGAGAAATAAAAGGGTATAAAGAAAAAAATTGACACTCCTGGACCCGTTTAACTCCGCATGTGTACGGTAAGTTGGCCCGTTCCAGAGAGGAAAGAGAAAAAATTGACACTCCCTATTCTACTCTTCCTACAAACGCTCATGGAGCAGAGAATTTGAAATGGGGGAAGAGTTTTTTCCACCCTGCTATTATATGTTATTAATTTAAAAGGATACAACAAATGTACTTAGAGTGATTGGTTATAATCCTTGACTTTCTTTAAAATGATCATTGTTCGAATCCCAGTATGTATCTTTTTAATGAATAAAAAAAAGTAATTGTGAAGACCAAAATGTCCTTCCTATTTTCACTCTCGTTGCAGGAAATTTGAAATGAGGCTCCCGTTTTTCTCTTCGGCGTATTATAAGTACTAGCATTAGGCCCGGCCCGTTGGCCGGTTTCGTACATAACCTATACGTGAATTTTGTTTTTATTTATTTAAAGAACAGAGGGAGTATTAAGTAGCATAATTATAGCTAATTGTTCTGCTTAATCAAATTTTTAGCTTATGAGATTGGATTTCGTGGACAATACAAACTCAAATAGCATCTATATAAGATCATTATCACATGATAAAACATTCATTTTTGTAGTGTTTGTCTTCAGAGGAGGCCAACAAAACATAAGCGAGCTCATGGCACTGATGCTGCAAGGGTTAAGCGAGCTCTTTCCCTTGTTTATTTTCGCTGCCCTCCCCTGCGCCTAATTTCCTCTTGTTTCCAGTTTTGTTTTGCACTGGTGCCTTTTGTATCTTTTTCAGATTTTACTAATATATATCATCCTTAACAAAAAAAAACAAAAAAAAAAGTGTTCAGGTGTTTGATGTAAATTATTGCAGTTGAATCCAATTGTTTTGGCAAGCGTCTTGTGGCAAGTTGAGTGTGTGAATCAAATGATGAATTGTTCCCATATTCGTGTAAAGGAACTTGTTTTTCAGGCCATCCAGTAGTGTCAGCCAGTGCTTTGAAGAATACGTTTCGGAAATTGGAAGTGCTAGAAGGGTTGGGGACTTGGTCTCTTTTATGATTTATCCTACCTCAAACATAGAATACTCATGCACCGTGGTGTAGTTGATGTGTATTGAAGTAAACAGATTCCTTATCCCAAGTCTCTACCAGCAAACTTGCTTTTGTGGAAAAGTCCACTCATTGTCAAAGAATTTGCCTCTTGCAAATTGGATTTGCACGGGGAGATGTGGACTCCAGTGACATTGATTGGCTCAATATGAGGGGACGGATCTAGGGAAAATTGTTTGAGCATCCATAGTAAATTTGTTGCTGAGTTTTGGCATCTCATAATTAAGTAGTTTGTTGCATTCGTTGGTGTTGTTATGACATATGAGTAAAGTTACGATTATGTGTGTGAATGCCAGTGGAGTTGTGATGGTTTGGAGTCACCTCAGCCAGATGTGGACAGTAAGCTAACTACGGTAGCCAAGAGAAGGATTAGAAGGCTATGTATGGGTAAAATTATGTTTTGGTACCTAAATTATTTTTTACAATTTAGTACCTAAACTTTTAAAACTATACGAATAGGTCAAACGTGTTTGTACGATGCTAAGGGTCATAGGGTCAAAAAGTGACCCGCCCTTAAACTGACCCAACCCTACATGACCCTGACTCGACCCTAAACTGACTCTATAGACAAACTGACCCAGCCCGACCCTCGAGGTCGGGGCGGTTCAGTGGGTTTTGGTTCAAACTTACACCCTTAAATAGTAAATACACCAACGCATAGAAGGGCAAGAAAGACACCAAACACCAACAGTCGGGTTATAAAAAAAAAGATGCAGTGAACTCTGCCAATAGCTTTTATTCACAATATTAACAATGAGATAATCTAAAAAATGCAGCAAACCTTGCGAGTAGCTACAATCAGAATGGACTAAACTTGAGAATTATTTGATGGTTATGACTTATGAACCAAACTTGAGAATCAAAAGAAGATAATCCATAGGGGAAAAGATATCAATCAAATCAGAAAAGATTGCAGCAAAGAATCTCATTGCAATTCCACAATTCAAACTGAACAAAAGAAGATAATCCATAAAGTAAACAATAAAAAAATATAGTTTCAACATGAACCTAAATGAAAAGATAATGCTAAACATCTCATATCCCATATATAAAAGAAAAATACTAAACAAAAGCTTCATAATGTGGGCCTTAACTCAAAAAGTTTCCAGCAATACTACTTCTCCTCGTTAGGATCGACAGCATGTTTCCTTTTCAACCTGGTTAAGGTTGTCCCAATAGGGCCCTAAGGTCTTGGAGTCTCAGTCAATTACTGAAATCAAATTTGAGTAATAAGATAGATTTAAACTATGTAATTAATCAGGAATCCTTTAGACCAACTGAGTTGATGTGCAACTAAAATGTTCATCACCTACCTAAAGTGGATCATGATCAACGCTAACCACGGAATACTCAGCTTGAGGCTTCACAAAATTATACTGGTAGCTCGGTTATACTTAGCTTGAAAGGCCTTCAAAGGAGCATTATACACTAAACAATAATAGGCATAGTGTAAATATACAACAGTAGAAAGTTAAAGAAATCAAGGGCATTTGAGTACATAGCTATACACTTCCTTCCCTGCTACTTGCAGCAATATTCGACAACAATTACCAACAAAAACGCCACGTCGCTACCTTATGTATATTAGAAATTAAGAGTGGAAACCCAGCAGACAACAAAGGAGAACAACATAACAAATTCCACTGAATCACATTCAAGCAATTCCATTAACCATGTTAATCAGGGCATTCTGTCCTACCCTCTCAATCATATTTTCTGCTGATCACAAAAGTTGAACTCATGACACCAATCAAGAGGCAGAAATTGACACACTTGGGACTGAAACAACACGCACTTGATGCATACTCGTCGTACAACCAAAGGAACTTCCTTCTCCTCCTAGCTAAAGTCGCAATATGGCGATCAACCCAAGTGAGGTGAGCTTTCAACTTGCTTATAACAATCAATAAGAAGCAAGATAGCTAAGAAAAACTGGAACTTCAAATCATTAACAGACAATATTCCATTTAACTTACCACCAGCAAGGCGCACTCTCTCCGCATCGACTTCAGCTAGCATCGGAACTTCAGGGGAGATACAAATTCCCTTCCTTTCCCTAACAAAAACACAATGGAATACACAAATCAAATAAGCTTTTGTTTCTTTTGCGTATATGAAATTCATCTCAGAAAACATCATACTAAGAAAGGGCTAGCAAAGATAGTAATAGAAAAATAAGAAAGGGGTAGGAGAAACTCTTAAACTGCTATTTAATACCTTTTCATTGTACCCTTCTAAATAACTACTGGAGTCATGAGCCATCCAGAAGGGTGTGCTAACAAAAGTCTGCAAATGTTGAGCAAGCAGTTCACAGACTAATAAAAAAAACTATAAAGATAAGTCAATGAATAAGGTTGCACTGAAAAATCATAAACCAGGCAGTAAGAGTAACACCCAAAGTCCAAACGCTTCAGTATCACGATCCTTATTACTATGAACAAACTCTCGAGCAGTTAAAGTGTCAAATGGAGCACCTTTCATCAGGAAATTGTTCTTGTAAGTTGTGCAGAAACACCAAACTCGGCAGCCTGTTACATGATCATAAAAGTAGCACGAAATACTGAAATACATGCATATGCCAATGAGTGTTATAGCAATATAAAGATATATATGGAATATCACGATCTTGTGGTGCTATATAAGCAAAGGATAATATACTTTTAAATCACCATTCTCGCTCAACAAAATGTTTGCCGCTGTACAAATTCAGAGAGTTGTCATGAAAATGAGAAACAAAGAGAAAAAGACAATGAACATGTATAAATTAGCAAGACAGTGCTGCCAAAACAGGGAAATATAACCTCAAGAAGATGCCCAAACCTCAATCTAGTAGAGAATGAAATTATTTTTCGTCCCAAAACCTTGGTAACCAACCTAAAACACAATCTAGCAGCTATTGCACAGATTGCCCATAGGTAAATAAAAGGTAGAGAGAGGACATTGCATATACAGGCTCTGCAAAGTCAAAATAGAAAACTACCTCTGCTAAATGCTCTAGTCTCCGCCTCTCCGCCATCCTGTCTTCACAACCCAAAAGGAACCTATAGCTACTGCAGCCGCCGTACGCCAGAGAAGAAGCATGCGCCGGTCGAGGTTGGTAGAGATACAGCGAGAAAGACAGAGCGAGAAGAGTGGAGATTTTTTTCTGGGGTTTGCAAGACAGGGCAGACGGCAACAAACACAATGACAGGAGAAGTACATACAGGGATTGTAAATGATTTGGATTTTATATTGAGTGTACCAAAAATTAAGGTCGGAGCTGTGGAGAGCTTTGATGACCAGAGCGGCAGAGAGCGACGATTGAAGAAATACGGAGAGGGGGACAATGAGCGATTTGGATTTCAGATTGAGTGTACCAAAAAATAAGGTCGAAGCTTTGGTGAGCTGTGATTAGCAGGGAGAGCGACGGGAGTGATTTCGATTTGGGCTTGAGCGTGGCCAAAAGGACGGTGGGAATTACGATTTCCGATTGATGTTGGGAAGAGACGGTGAGAGAGATTTCGCTTTCCGGTAGGAGGTTGGAATTCAGAAGGCAAGAAAGAGAGGGTTTCTGAATTGACGATAAAATCCCTCCGCACTCTGCGGTTATTCCAGCGGAGACTGACGTGGCAAAAGCGGTATATCGACATTGCCTTATAGTATTTTGTAGATCATACGAGGCCTTTAAAATTATGAGGCCCTGTGCTGTGGGTCTGACCAGCACAGGGCCTGGGCCGGGACGGGTCAGTTTGTCTACAGGGACAGATTAGGGACGGGTCATTTGTTGACCCTGCAAGGGTCGGGACAACTTAGGGACGGGTCACGTTTTGACTCTGTGACCCTTAGCAACAACAAATATCTCATACTTCATTGGACCTTTTTGTAAAGTTTTAAAAGTTTAGGTACTAATTTGTAAAAATAAAAAAATTTGGGTACCAAAACGTAATTTTACCATCAAAATTTATGGACTTATTTGTAAAAAAATAAAATTTAGGTACTAAATTGTAAGAAAAAATAATTTTGGGTACCAAAACGTAATTTATAAATAAGTAGTGTGTTGATTAGGGTCGACCCACTGACCCGGCCCGTCCCGTCCCAAGCCTTGAGGGTCAGACAGGGTCAAGAAGGAGACAGGGACGGGACGGGACGGTTATACATCTTGACCCTTCAGGGACGGGTCAGACAGGGACAGGGACGGGACATGCAAATTTTCAGCCCTACATGAAACTGCAACAACGGATGTATTCAATGAGCGAGTGAGGGGAGGAGAGACGTCGAACTTTGTCAATTGAAATGACCATCGCCGAGTAGGGGTGTTCAAACGGTTTGGTTACCGTGGTAACCGTTTTAACCGGTCCTATTTGGATAATTTGGTTTGATTAATTTGGATAATTGGTTTGGTTAAAGTTTTTAGCTTGTTTGGTTTAGGTGGTTTGATTTGGTTTCAGACACTCCTAACCAGTCAAACCAAATTAACCAGTTAAGTAATTAGTCATATATCTAACATATATTATATACACATAATACTTTGCATAACCACTCAAGAGTTAACGTTCATCCCTTTTAGACTCATAAAATATAAAGCTCAATATTGCTCATATAGTGTATATTTGTATATGTAAAGTCTAGACCACAACATATGGACGCCTAATTTAGATAAATTCCATACATTATGATGAATGAAAACTTGAAAGGAAGGTCATTTCCAGCCTATGATAATTGCTAAGAGACTAAGTCAATTTACACAAACACAAAAATTCATTAACCCATACCATTATCATAATTTTTTGTTAGGTGAATACTTCTATACTAATCGTAAGATAATTGTCTTAGTTGCATGTATTTTTGTTAAGGGTCAACTATAACTACGTGTTGATTGTTATGTTTTATTCATTATATAAATTGCGAATTGTTGCATCAACCGGAAAATTTCATCGTCAATGATAATGTGATTTTATATTGGTTAATTTGGTTAACCAATTAACCAAACCGATTAAACTTTAGTTTGGTTAATTTGGTTGTTGTATTAGTTTGGACGGTTTGGTTATGATATTGTATTCCATAGTTAATGGAATTTAGCCTTATTTGATTTGATTATACCCATGGTAACCATTTGAACACCCCTATCGCCGAGAACCTTCCTCCGGGGCACCTATCTTCTAATGCTAGCACCACTCCTTCGCCAGCTTCGTCTTTGTCACTCAGAGATGGAGAGTGAGGGAGAGTGAATCGTTATGTTTGGGATAGAGATGGAAAGTCATATATAGAAGGGGTTGCAAGTACATGTGATAAGCTTTTTTTTGTTTTCATAACTAGCACCAATCTAATCCTAACGCGTTATGTTTGAGGATTATCCTTCATTTGTAAGTAACAAAGAAATTCCAATAGTTATTATCTGAAATTTTAATGGAGTCGCGACTTGGAGTTTGACTATTGGTGGCAACCAACCGACAACGACGGGTAAGATCAATAGTATAGTGGATGGTACCGCGACGAATATAGTGGTGGAGTTCGTGATCTTTATTTATTATTCTTTTGCATTAGGTTAGGAAAACTAGAAAAAAAATTTCTTTTACTTTTTTGGGTAATTACTATTTATTAGTCTAGTTTTAGGTTGTTTAAAAAAAAAACTAAAAACTAGACCAAAAACAGTAGTTTGGGTAGTCCAGTTTTACTTTTTTATGTTTTAGGTTCTTAGAAAAAACTAAAACTAGACCCAAAACAGTAGTTTGGGTAGTCCAGCTTGCAGGTTAACCGAGTGAACTAATTTTACCAATTAATCGGATGAACCGATTATGACTCGTCCAACTAGATTTCTTATCGTCTTGAGGTTGTCAGGACCGAAAGTGTAGCCAATCCGGTTTTATCAAATTGAACCGGCCAGTCCGATATTGATAAAAATGATAATCACACACCGTATCCTCTAGGGGTGTTCAAATGGTTACCATGGTTATAACCAAACCAAATAAGGCTAAATTCCATTAACCATGGAATACAATATCATAACCAAACCGTCCAAACTAATACAACAACCAAATTAACCAAACTAAAATTTAATCGGTTTGGTTAATTGGTTAACCAGATTAACCAATATAAATCACATTATCATTGATGATGAAAATTTTTCGGTTAATACAACAATTCGCAATTTATATAATGAATAAAACATAACAATCAGCACGTAGTTATAGTTGACCCTTAACAAAAGTACATGCAACTAAGACAATTATCTTACGATTAGTATAGAAGTATTCACCTAACAAAAATTTATGAAAATGGTATGAGTTAATGAATTGTTGTGTTTGTGTAAATTGACTTAGTCTCTTAGCAATTATCATAGGCTGGAAATGACCTTCCTTTCAAGTTTTCATCCATCATAATGTATGAAATTTATCTAAATTAGGCGTCCATATGTTGTGGTCTACACTTTACATATACAAATATACACTATATGAGCAATATTGAGCTTTATATTTTATATGAGTCTAAAAGGGATGAACGTTGACTCTTGAGTGGTTATGCAAAGTATTAAGTATGTGTATATAATATATGTTAGATATATGATTAATTAATTAACTGTTAATTTGGTTTGACTGGTTAGGAGTGTCTGAAACCAAACCAAACCACCTAAACCAAACAAGCTAAAAACTTTAACCAAACCAAACCAATTATCCAAATTAACCAAACCAAATTATCCAAATAGTACCGGTTAAAATGGTTACCACGGTAACCAAACCGTTTGAACACCCCTAGTATCCTCCACTCTCCAGCTTGACAAATGACAACCATTACTGAACTATCTGGAGTAGCTTCCTAAAGTTGCTTGAGAATGACCAGTGCATTTACAAATTCCTAAAGTTGTATTGAGAACTTAAGTCAGTTGCCACCAAGAAGCAAAACAAAATAAAACACAATCCTGGTCATTTAGAGTTCAGACTACAATACAACCACAATCAATCCCTAGCTTTCTGCAAGTGAGTTGTTCTAATCGTGACGATGTTGAACCGGTAGCCAAATGGATCGCCAAAAAAAAAAAAAGCTTGTACTACTTACCCTTTGGTAGAACACAGAAAGAAAACATGAAAAGAAACAGCAATGATGAGTAAGTTCCCTCAAGTTCATAATCCCTCCATGAGTGATTGAGAGACCATCACCTTACTTCAATTTCTGACTTTGCGGAATCGAACTCAACTCACTTGCACTTATTCTGTAGCAGCATGTAGCAGACTGTATCTCCATTGCCAGAGAGAAACAACTTCATGCAATCAGGCAGCTACTGTTCCCATAGCTATTCGCATCAAGCCTTCAACTTTGTCCAAATAGGGAAGCACATACTTCTTCAAGAACAACGCATGAGCCATCTTGTAAACAGAGTTCATCTTAGGTTCTCGAGAGAGCAAATTCCTGCTCTGCAATGCTTTTATAACCATCAGCCGTGGCTTTATCCTTTTCTCAATGCTGCAAATGAGCAACTGAGGGGATTTCACAATACTTGAAATTTCCAAATTCGCTTCGGTAACTAAAAAATCTACCACTTCCTTGACCTTCTTATCTGAGGTTGAGAATGCCATAGGCTGCCTCTTGAAAGCAAACAGAATATCCTCGTCTGAAAAGCCTAAATCCCTCAACAGCTTCAATTTGACCTCCCATTTCTCTGGACTCATGGAACTTACAACCCGAACAGCATACAGAAACATGTTTGACTCCCTATCGAACCCCATCTCATCAACCCTTCGAACAAACTCCTTCACATGCTCAGGCTTGAAAAGGAAAAACCTTGGGAAACTAGATATGAACCTCAATATCTTCTCCTCGCTCACCCCAAAACTCTGCACGTATTCGATGTTAGGCAGCATGGTGGCCTCCAAATCAAGTTTCAAAAACCAAGCAGATTTCTTCAACAAGGCAGCGACATCGGCCACAGATCCAACCACACTTTTCAATGCTACGATGGACGGCACTAGTCGGTTCAACGGACTTCTTGTCAGAATCCAAGGATCGCCAGTTATTATCTCGGTTACATCCTTTGCTGCGAATCCTGAATCCTGGAAAACCTGGACCTTGGGCTTCAATATGTTCTCAACATCAGAATTAAGAACCCGCGGCACCTTTTGAACAATGGTTTCAATCTGAGCTCGGCTGAAACCAACATCCTTGAGATATGATAACACAGAGTCGGCCCTTTCCGGCGTTTTGATGTGCTTCACGGCTGCGATCGACAAGGCTTTGGAAGCAATATCAGGGGAGAACTGTTGTTGATTGACCAAGTAATCGAACACAGAAATTTTGGATTTTTTAGCTGTTTTGTTAGCGATAGAGGAAAAGAAGGAAACGGAGCTCGGATCGAGGAAACGGGTTGGGAGAGAATGTGAAGACGATCTAAGATAGAAGGTGACGAGAGTCCTGCAGATTTGAGGACCCATTTACCCCCCCTTTATCTAAGCTCTGCGGAAATGGTGAAACAGATACCTAATACAATGACGAGGAATAAATACCTCTAGTTGGGTCAAGCGAAATTCCTGAATCTGTCTCTGATAGCCCTGGTTGGTATCGGAGCTCCTCGACTCTGTAACAGAGGATTTTCCGGCAGCCTAAACCCTCCTGCTAGGGTTTTGACTTCCAGCGTAATAGATGGATTGGTTTTGCTGCTGCTTTTTCCGCTTTAATTTGTGCTTGTTTACCGCTTGAATTGGGCATGACGAGGATGATGTCGGGCACTCGGGCTATCGTCGACTGGGCTTGTCAGATTACAGAGGGCTGGGCCCAGAGATCTTGAAGGCCCGTCATTTTTTTTTTTTTTTGGTGTGTGGAAAGGCCCGTCATTTTATTGAGAAAGCATTTTAGCCACATTAGTTGTTTGGTGGTCGAAATGTCAATTGTATATATGAATGACTGAATATGAAGGTGACAAGGAAATGTTATTCACAGTGTTCATTCTAATTTTTTAAATTTATTTGAAATGCTTTAATTTCTTATGACATTAACATGACGTAAAAAGTATTTTTTCAATGTTTAAAATTATACCGATCTTTCATTGATGAACCAAATTTTATTTTTAATTGTTTTAACACTTCTGAATAATTAGTCATGAATTTTTTATTTAATAATTTGGTCAATTAGTTGTCTTTGGTTGAAAAGAAAATCGACATAACCGAAATAAATAATCTAGATAACAAAACATAGCATAAATAGGTAAAAATATAACTATAGTGTTTTAGCCAATATTTGTTTCTTTTGACGTGAGACACAATACATATATATCAACATGAGCGAAATAATCATAATTTTCGAGCAACTTTCTAATGTTCTTGAAATAACCAAATGAATTTACTACACATAATGAGTGAAGACCTTAGGGTTTATATTATGTAATCGGTTTTAGTTCGCACATGAAACAACGTAAGAGGATTTCAAGAAAGATGAAATTGAACAATCAATTAGAAGATGATACCTAGTATAGAACAATACATAAATTGTATCAAATTGGATACTTAAAGAAGGTTTCAATGAAGAAAAAAAATCGAACGGTTAAGTATTGTATTTTAGACATTCAAAAGATAAATCGTTTGACATGCAATGAAAAGTTTTAATCACTAATCACATTTGTTTTGCCGAGCATTGACTATGAGTTCTATTACTACTTTGCAGTCACGAAAAACTGTGTTTACATTCCAAGTATCCATTCATATTATCCTCTTTATTCTCATGTTTGTTTTGCTTGAAATATATGACATCCAACATATAAAATATTTATATGAGGAATTTTACAATGCTATATAGCATTGGTGCTATAGGTTTTTATCTTTATGGTACAACTTTAAATTGTACCTTTAATATTATGGTACAACTTCATATTGTACCTATACTTTTTGTACAAATTCTTTTATGGTACAACTTAAACTTGTACCTTATGTGATGGTACAACTTCAAGTTGTAAAGTTGTACCATAACATAATGATACAAATTCCTTTATGGTACAACCTAAACTTGTACATTTAATGTTATGGTACAACTTCAAGTTGTACATTAAAGCACCAATACTATATAGTATAGTAGAATTGCTCATAAAATACAACTATATATGTATTCTATTAGGTTTATTAGACCATGATGATGTGTTGAAGGTCATAGACTTAGAAGACCGATACAAACAATAGAAAAACAATTGAATCACATGCAATGAAACCTTGTAGGTCGGACACATTGAAACATAAATAATTAAATATACAAGAAAGAAAATCGAATGAAACATGGGATCGAATTAGTTGCTAACCCCATAAGGGGTTAGCATCATACTAACTAGCATAAGAATCATTAGATTAAAAATTAATCATGTGCTCATAATTAAATAAAGGAAAATTTAGTAAATATACGATAAAACCCTAAGATAAATAGTTTTTTTCCTACCAATGACCAATCCCTTCCTGGCCGCTCACCTCTCTCTCTCTCTAAAAAATCCAGAACCCCATCTTCTTCTCTCTCTCTAAAGAAAATCCCATCTCCGTCGATTCCCCTTCCCGTTCGACTATGTCTGCGTCGATCTTAGCCGTGTCGGCCTCAACCTCGCCATCGCCCGCAACAGACTCGCCATCACCTGCAACCGCCTCATCCACAACCGCGTCGTCATCACTCGCAATCGCCTCGACATCGCCATGCGCTGCTCTCAACTCAGTTCGCCTCACCTAAGCCGTCACTTCGATTAAACTGCAATGCTTGCGGTCGGGGAGGAGGCGGGTCGTCGTATGATGACGGAAGAGGAAACAAAACCAGATAGGGGGAGAGGCTGTCGTTCGATGCAGAGAGAAGAGTCTGCGCCGCCCTTCTGCTGGCCTTGCCTTCGTTGGCTTCCCACAACCACTGTCGTCAATCGCTCACAGAAGCATCCGCAAAGGGAAAACGAGAATTTTGCCAAATCTTTATTATTAGTTGATTAGTAATTATTTTGGTAGTAGTGATTGTGTAGTGTTTTCATTTTTATTCGTAGTCATTTTTATTGTAATCAACAGTTGAGCAGTGACCTTTCTAAAGTATTCGTAGTAGTGTTTTGTATATTAATAGTAATATTTATCCTTTGTAGAACTTTATTTCATTCATAGTAGCATTCTTTCAAAAAATCATCAACTTCTACTGATTAAAAATGGTACTAATAACAATAAAATCACTACGGACTATCATAAAATCACTACGGGGCGTTTGGATTAGTTTTTTTTTATGAGGGATTTTAATCACAATCTCTCATTGTGCAGGATTTTAAACATTTCTGTGTTTGGTAAACATGAAGATTTTTGCAAGTTAGGAATTTAAAACCCCTCAAATGTAGGTTTTTGAAATAACTGATTGCCATCAGCTATTTACAATCCCTCATTTTTATTTCATTTTTTCCAAATCTTACCCCTTTGCCTGCTTCCATCTCCCCTGTACAAGACCACCAACGGGCCAATCAACAACCTCCTTCCTAATGGCATCCACTACAAGCAAACAATATGATATCATTAGAGTTGAGTAGGGATCGCAGCCAGCTAAACACACCGCTTCTAGTATTGCAGAGGCTTCAGCCAGCTCAGGTGCCAACACTGCATTTTATCAGCCCTACCATCATAGGCCTTCCCAATCGCATTCTTCATAATCACTGCAATGCTCGCCTGCTGGATGTTTCTTTTGAAGGCTCCATCACACAAGATTACTCTAACGTAAATCCTCGCTGAGGGGACAAGGTTTTGGTGGTTACCTCTAGACTGAGAGGAATTGTAGATTAAATTAGAAACACAACATGAATCCATTCAGCAAGCTCGAGAGAAGTATTGTAAGAGATAGCTTATGGAGAAGGATTTACATCCTCGAATTCAAAATCATTCCTCGCTTTCCAGATCTGCCACCCACTAAAGAAAAGGTCACCAACTATTTCAGGTGATACCTGTAAGGTTCAAAGAAAATAACCATTGTAGAAAGGACGCTCCATGTGGAGGAAGAGTCCAGGCCGAAAAAGGCTCCATGATGAAGATAATCAACAACACCTAAAAAGGAGATTATCACCTGTTACAGATTCAGCATCACAACTCTTGCACATTTTGTTTGAGAACACTTTCTATGGAAAAGATTTGATCTTGTAGCAAGCGCATTCTTCTCGCATTTCCAAAGAAAGAACCTCAACTTTGGAGGCAGGGTCAGACTCCACGTCCACTTCCACACTTTTTCTTGCTGATGTGACTTGAATTTTCATGGAAAATGGAAGAGTTAAGGTGGTGGTAACAAGATTTCACCGTGAAAGCTCCCTTCTTGTCTTAGTTCCAAATCCACATAAATGTAAAGCATTGAGGCCCAATGGGAATCTTGAGAATTGCAGCACTACAACATCAAGAGAGAAATGATAATGAAGAAGACCAGCATCCCATTGATTCTCTGGCCTATGAATAAACTACGCGTCTCGAAACTGAGATAGTAAATCTTGGGATTCTGAACTACTCAAGATCTAGAATCCATGCTTCATCCATCCATGTTTCTTCTCCATTCCCAATACACTTCTTAATGCCTATAAAAAGAGCTTTTTCCCCTGCCCATGGCAAGGATGCTTTTAACCCCTTCCTTGCATTAATGTTCGTTAGGTAATAGATACTCATTAAGACTCTCACCCATAAGCTGTGAGGAGACATAAGAATATGCCATGCCATCTTGGCGAGAAGAGCATTGTTGAAAATCTTGAATCCCAGGAGCCAAGGCCCCCAATCCTTTCTCATCGTAATATGGTCATGTGAAAACCATGACATTGCCCTCTTTTCAACCTAATCCTACCACCACAACCACCCAAGGATAGATTTCATCTTCCGAAAAGCGAGTCTGGAAGAAGAAAACAAGAGAAGTTAATCGATAGAATGACTTGAGGAACTGCTTTAATGAGAACCTCTCTACCCTCTTGGGAAAGAAGCAAACTTTTCCAAGACTTCACTTTATCTTCCATCCACTCAACAATAAACTGGAAAGTCTCCGCCTTTGAATTACCCCATTTAGCTGGCATCCCAAGGTAACTCCCTATTGAAATTCCTTCCTGAATACCCAGAACATCTATGATCTCCGCAAAATAGAATCAGGAGCATTAGAGGGGGAAAACAAAGCAGATTTATCATGATTAATCACCTAACCTTAAAGGTCACAGTAATGCTCAATGACCTCTTTCAAAAAAAGAGCCTCTTCTCATGAAGCCTTACCAAATAGAACGGTGTCGTCAGCGAAGAGGACATGGGAAAGAACAAGGCATCTTGAATTTATCTTAATCCTATTGAGCCTTTTCCCCCTCGATGTTCTTCGGCAGAGAGAGAAAAAAAAACATTTGAAATAAGGATGAAGAGATATGGAGGCAAAGGATTACATTGTTGTAGTCCTTTGGAGGGGTTGAAGAACAAAAAAATAGATAGCCTTGCAGTAGAAACACTTTTCTTGACCTAGCTAATCCATTGACAATGAAAACACATAGCCTTCATAACTTCCTTATATGAAATCCCCAAGAGAGCTTATCGTATGCCATTTTCATATCCAATTTCATCATGAAGTCGAACCAGTTCCATTTCTTCTTGTGCTTCATATAGTTGATACCTCATGGACAATCACAATGTTTCTTTGATACACCAATTTCCAATAAAAGCATATTGGAGCTCAGAGATAAGAGTTGTCATCCATCTTTTCATTCTCTTTGAAATAACTGTATACTTTAAGTTGCACACACCAATCAGTGTGAATTGATGGATTGCCATAGATACTGGACTTTAGGAATAAGCGCAATGAAAGTATCATTCCACCCTTTCTTTATTTCTCCCTGCCAAGAGAGAATATTGCATCTTTGATCTTGGCTACGAAGAACGAAGTAGCAAGGTCGTCATTCATCTGCTGGTGAATCACTGTGGGAAAGTCCTGCAAAAAAAAGAGAAATATGTTACTCCCATTTGCTCATGAAACCAAGAGGATAAAAAATGAGTAGCATGGTCCATCAATTCCCCAGACACATCAATCTATCTCCCATCAAGACTTTTCAATCTTCGAATAGTGTTTCTTTGCCTTCTTTGGATCGTCGAGAGATGGAAGAATCTTGTGATTCTATCTCCCTAGTGCAACCATTTGACTCTGGATCTTTAGGCCCAATGGATCTCTTCATATTTTTGAAGGGCTTCCAATTGGACATTTATGCTTTGACACTTTTCTTCTACATCAACACTCTAATCCCCATCTTACAGATAATTCACTTTCTGCAGTAAAACTTCAATCCTCCTAGGAATATCATGAAATTCCTTTCTAATCCACTTGGATAGATGCTTCTTACATAACAATAGCTTCTCATCAAAAGATCCATTGTTTCTTAACCATGTCTCATTAACCATCGCATTATACTGCTCATGCTCCATCCACCTTTCCTCAATCCGAAATAATGGCTTTTTGTACTTTTCCCAACATGGATAGAAACCATGGGCAATGATCAGATTCTATCCTTGTGTCATGTAGCAGAGTTGATTCTAGAAAGACTTCCCTCCACTCCACATTTGACAAATCTTGATTCAACCATTGTCTCATATGCAACCCTCCTGCTTGAGTTCTGGTCCAAGTAAATCTTGGACCATTGAATTCAAGGTCTACTAAACCATTCGAGAAGATGAAGTTGTTAAAGTCACAAACATTTCTTTGATTTGTGATCCTTCTCCCTTCCCTCTCATGTAAACCAATCATCGGCTCACCGCATTGAAATCATCAATCAACATCCATTTCTCTTAACCTTGCAGTTTTAGCATAGAGATTTTGTTCCATACCACACTTCGCTCACTAGCTTATGGAGCCCCATAGACACTAGTGAAATAGAAATCAGCTTATCCTTTAAAAAAAAACAGTGAATAAAGAGCTTCTCACTTTCAATAGATGTAACCTTGACATTCTCACACCACCATATTGTCAGGGGGGCTGACAATAATATGGAGATAAGGTCCTTTCTCCACAACACAGTTCTTCTCATTCACTACCATAATCTGGAGAGCAATATTCTGCAGTCCATCACTAGCTTCCTCCTCTGAGATAAGGGTCCTTTCTTCAGTTACATTCAATCTTGCTAGCCTCTTTATCGTTATAAGCCTTTCACTCCCAAGGTCATTGAGACCAAATGAAAATTTCGGAGCAGACATGCTTCCTTGAACTGGGGAGACATCAGCTTCAATTTCTCCTTTGGTCTTTTTCTGAAGCCTTCAGGCCCCTCTCCTCCAGGTTTTTTTTTTGCCTCTTTTATATTTCTCGGTTTGGTAACTATAAAACCTAAACTAGGTCAGACTATAAGGGGGATGAGGGGGATTGAGGGAAGCTTTGAAGAATTCTATCTTGATCGGGTTTAGGAAGTTGTGCAAAAACATTTGTGATTGAGGGAGCATCAATAGTGGTGAGAAGTTTGAACATATAGTCTGAGGATGAGTGCACTAAGTCAGCTTCAGATAAATCAGTGTGGTTCAGGGCAAGGTGTTTTAGAAAATCATGCTCAAAAGATTTTGGCTTGGAGGTAGTAGGCTTGTGTTGATCATTCATCTGGGATTCACGGTTTATCAAGAGACTAGAATTTTTGTCTTGGTTCTAAAGGGTTGGATTCTTGGCTGATGAGGTGGGATCAGAAAAGGTTTTGTTGACAGAAAACAGTGGCTTTTTCCCTTTTACCTGATGGTTTGGAATTCCATAGTGTTGCATTGATCTCTAGATCCGGATGACTTCCAGTATGTTCATATTGGGAACCAATCATTATGAAGCCTCTGTTGTTGCCACGGAGATCTTTATTCTCAATGTTCTTCGTCGCCTACGATGAAAAGATAGAGGGATAGAGAGGAAGAAGATCCACTTGCCGACATCGTCCAGATCCACTCGTTGTTGGATGAAAGATGTGAGTTTTCGAAATATTGGGGAAGCTATTTCAAAAATCCATATTTGTGAGTTTTTTAAAATCCCACATTTGTGAAGCCCTTCCCAAGCATGACATTTAGACAAAAATCTACTTTTTGTGAGATTGGATCCAAATCCCATCATCAAAATCCCAATCCAATCATCCCCTTGATCCATTTTGGACAGCTCTAGTGTTACGACCAAGTTTGCCACAATCATAACAAAAGTCAGGCAAGTTTTTTCATACTTGATTTCCACCTCATCAATATGTTATTTATCTCTACATTGAAACCCATATCGATAATCACCTCCATCAAATACAGTTGCCATAGTCCATTTTCTCACTTCTGATTTCTTCAATGGCATTCACATTAATAAATAGATTTCCAATGTTGAGAAGGTTCAATTCCCTCTATGTTTAGGGGCAAGCCCCCATATTTGGACTCCTACATTTGTTGTTGAGATTGCCACGCTCTCTGGTATTCTGAATATACTCCACTCCCTTAAGATTAAGTAAGTTTGGGGTATATGACATGGACTCTTCTTTTCCACCATCAACTTCTATGTTTCATCCAAGAAGGTAAAGAGATACCTATTAGATCTCAGTTCTTTTACCTTAACATCTCCTCTAAATCTTCATGCTCGCTTAACATTGTTTCAGATCTTATGGCAAGGGGTGATCTTGTCAAGAACGAGCCTACCAACCAAGGAAAGTTTGTGGCGTTTGGTAATAATTTCAGGATCATGGGTAAGGTTGAGGACATGATGAGTCACCATCAAGTTCTTGGGTTCGGTTAGTGAGATCTTAGTTCACCCTATTGAGGTCCGTTGTAGTAGGGGGTTTCGGGTGTAAAGGATTGGGTCTTGGGTAATGTAGGCAACGAGAATGGTCTCAACTTAGTTAGTTTCTCTCTGAGGTGATTGTGGGTGGTTGTTTATGAGATGTAGCACTGGGTGTGGGTAGTATTTTGGGTCTTTTTTGTGTGTGCGTTCATCTAGGGTATTTGTTTCACTATTGGTGAAGTAGGGGAAATGATATTTCAGCGGGTATAATGGAAAATTATATATAATAGAGAATGATATGGAAGAAATGCAACTCGAGAAGAAGAAATAAGGTAGTTTTTTGAGTTTTTCAGGATGAGAGATGAAACATCACTCAAGGATAGCAATAAATCTGGATTAGTTGGCTATGATTGGTGTAAATAGAGTAGTGAGATAGTTGGGTAGAAATGAATGAGGGTAGATTAGAGTAACATTGATGAAGGTAGGTAGGATTTGATGTAGTTGTAGGGGAAAGCAAGGTAAAGACCCACCCACATGTAGTTCCTATGTCTTCGGATAATCTAGATTTGCAAGATCCAGAAAGACTCCATAAAGAAGATGGTCATAAACTCCATTGAGGGGACAAATATGACTTCATTGATGAGAAAGCAAAGCTCTATCGATGAGAGAGGGGAGAGCTCCAACAGGGGGCACAACGCTTCTATTATGATATGTTAGGGATTAGGACTGTGCTCTTTACTTCCAACCTGGAGGAAAAGGAGCGGAACAAGAAAATGGAGTACTCGCAATTTCCTTTTCCCCTGGTCAGGACTCTCACAAAGCATGACAAATATTTGATCAAAATTAGTTATCTTCTCCACGGGAAATTAAATGGAGGTAATGACAACAAACTTGATCATGATGTTATGCTTTAGTTCAATGTTCTTCGGAAAGCTATAGAAACTGGTTTTGCCTCCAAAGGTCAAGCAATTTATGTGAAAGGTGGGTAGAGGGAACTTACATACACGGGCTCAAATCGCTAAGTTTATTCTGCGAGCCACAGATGAATCCCTTTTCCGTGACAACTATGAGAACCAAACCCATATTCTTCTAGGATACTCCTGGTCATTCATAATTTGGACAAAGAGCATGGTGGTTGGCTGCTTCATTGAGGGTGAATGTCTCTCTCTACCATGTGTGGTTGGAGAAGGTCTTTCAAAATTTCCCTCGAAGATGATGTTCAATGGTTCTGCACACTCCTCTAATTTGTATAGAGGGGGAGGGCGGGAAGAAACAACCATTGGTTCAAGATATCGAAGCTTGGAGAAGTTGAGATTTCTCAAAAAGCATCATGTTGGATATACGAGTACCTTGAGGCACAGAACATAGTGAATCCAAATTTGCATGTCCTTTCATTCATTGTCAACATTGGATAATCCACATATAGGTTCTTTCAATATGAGCTATGACACGGATTGATTATCAACCACGACATTTGCGTGGGGATAATTCGTGATGATGCTAGCAGATTCATTCCTAATTCACTAAAAGGGAGAAAGGAACTTGTAGTGTGGAAGAAGCAGAGGTGAGGGTCATGCTTCTGAGTAATCAAGAGGTGGAAATGGGAGTGATAACATGTAATTTATTCATTTCAAGGACACATTTCTTAGGCGTTGGATTATTATAATCATCATATTTTTTCCATTTTAGTTTGATTTTGACATTTGTGTTAAGTGTGCCTAATTGGTGAATATTCTAGGTTTTAGCATGATTTTGACCCTTTCTTATCCATTTGACTCGTAATTTCCTCATTTTTTATTTTCTTTTATGCTAGGTGTAGTTTCCCGACTAATTTTATATGTCCTACCATGTCAAGAAAGAAAAGAAGCAAGTTTTGGGTGAGTCGGAGGTCATTTGAGGCATGCAAAAAAAGGAGGAAATAGAAGAGGTCAATGCTAGGAGTAGATCTCTATCATGATCTTGATGGAATTCCGGCCCCCATGACATCATAAAAAAAGTTGGACAATTGGCTAGAGGACCAATGAGTATGAGACATAAGGAGCGAAAATCTCTATGCTTAAAGTCCTATTTCAAAATCATGCAAGGGAGGCTTCAAATGAACCGATGAAAGCATAAGGAAGAAGTATCGTGATGCTTCGTTCACTTGTCATCCGGTTTTCAGTGGTTGCTACAACAGAAAACAAATCTTAACGAAAATAGAGCTGTCATTTTTTGAGAAATAAAACCTAAAGAAAACTTGTTTACCTGAGAATTTTGGTAAGTTCTGAAACTGGGTTCTGAAAATAAAAACTTGTTTAGTTACTTCATTTTGTTTTTTGATACTTTCATTACCAACAATGAAACAAGTACTTATATCTAAGGTTCAAGAAGGCACTAGACATGCATTAGGGTCTTACCTACCCCTATGCTTTTTAAGCTATCATAATAATTTTATAGCACTTTTTTACGTAGCCTTAATATTAAATTATTAATTTATAGATTAGCTAACCCTCACCAATAAGTAAAAGATTTCATGATTTCATAGAAGATAAAAACATAGGCTTATCGAAATTAGAATCACAAGTTCACAAAAAATTGAACACAAGTTCTTGAAACATAAGATTATGGCAACAAGAATTTTGGGCAAAACTGGAGACAAGAAGCACCGCAGTCGTCCATGATGAATTTTGGAATAAGGGAGAAGTTGTTATAATACAGAGAATTGTCTTTCCTACTTCCATTTTCAATTCTCTCCTTATCTTCTCAATCCCTAATATCCTTCCCTAATCTCTGGTCCTTCAACAATTATCGATGAATGAGTAGTTGTCGATCTACTCTTTGTCTAGCCACTTGTGATGTTTTTGTTCCCCCTTCCTTTCTCTTAGATAATTATAAAATGAAAGAAAAATATAAAATTGAAAACCTAAATAGTGCAAAAAATCATTAGGTGACATGTTTGTTAACGTAAAATGGTAGAAGAGCATAAATTACTATTAACCTTTTAATATTTGAGGTTGCACTATTATTATTTTTATAATAATTTAAAGGCAAAATACAGTTGTATATCCACAACTATCACGTTTGTGACAAATATATCCACAACTATCGAAATACACGAAATATCTAAAAATCAGAAGGTTGTGTGACAAATCTATCAACTTCCGTCTGAAACTATAACGGTGTTAGTGACGTCGTCAGATCGGTTAGCAATATGCTGATTAGGACACCAATTCAGCGCACACATCATCGACAAGTCAGCACCAAGTGACACGTCATATTTACTTATAAATATTTACAGATAAAAAATTAATAAAAAATAAAAAAATTGCTTCTCTGCCGCAGACCCTTCCCCTTCTTCCCACACTCCGCCCCTCATCCCTCTTCCACCGCCATTCCACCCACCTCCACCCCTCCTCCCTCTTCCACGATCATTCCACCCACCCCCTCAACTTCCTCCCATCTCCGCCCCTTCTCCCTCTTCCACCGCCATTCCAAACCCACCCACCACACCCCCCCGCCCGACCTCCCTCCGCCATCTATTCATCTCTGCCAACTCCCACTGCATCCAAAGAAAAATAAAAAAAATTATAAGTGCTGCGCCACCATCGATACATTTGTCGTTGTTGGGTCGCCGTCCAGCCATCGAAGCTCGCGCGCATCTCCGTACAGCCAGATCTCCGTAAACCCACTTCCCTTATTTAACCCCGTCGGGCTCTTCCCCCCTTTCCCCAATCTAAAAAAAAATTATGGTTCATCATACTCGTTAGCTGCGTGACATTCACCGATCAGAACCAACCCACCATTATGCACGTCAGCGTCGACGGCGGGAACAGATTCGATTCGTCATTACCACGAGCCTACTTCTGGTTCTTTGTCCATGCCATGGTGGTGGCTTTGTCGGCGGAGTTGCTGGAGCGAACGCCATGCGTGTGAAGATTTGCTGGAGGGTATATTGATGTCCAGTGATGTTGGAGGCTCGAACAAGGAGTAAAAGAAAGAAATAATCTAAATGAGAGATTCCAAAAATCAAATTGAATTGATGCAGCTGGAAACCTAATAAAAACCAGAGATTCCCGAAAGGCAATTTAATGGGTGGAATCAAATTCAGGAAGCGAAGAAGACTTGCTGGAAACCACCATCGCCGTCACAAATCGCTTCTTCCTTCTCAGTCCGTCGCCGCGAGTAGGAGGGAGTCGACCACCACAACGTACACCACCAAATCTTCCTCCTCCACTTTCGAATATGACCGAGATCGACAGTGACGGCAAACCCAAGAGCAAGAGAGCCATCGGTTGCTTGTTCTTCATCACTTCATGGTTGTTGTTCTCCTGCAGCTTCTTCGCTGGTTGATTTTCCATGGCTGCAGTGACGAATCGGGAGAGTTTGAGAAGAAAGCTATTGGGAAGGAAGATTTGGGCGAAACCAATGTCGCAATTATTAGTCTTTTCGTGTTTTATATTTTTTTAATCCACGTGGATTCATAGGGACAAATATCACCAACTAAGCATTCCCTGTTAGTCCAGTCACTCTGTTAACTGACACTGTTAACGTGGACGGAAATGGGTATTTCGTGTATTTCGATAGATGTGGATATGTTTCTCACAAACCTGATAATTGTGGATATGGAAGTGTATTTTGCCTAATTTAAAAGAAGCTTCATAAACTATTCATAATAAAAGTGTGGTAATCAGATTACGGCATAATCTTCTTGCTCCCAATTTTTTTTTCATGATTATAGATATCTTAATAGGTTTTCATTTTCTGTGTTTCAGTTTCACAGTTAAAATTATCAACTATACAATTTTTTTTAAGTTTTATTTCTCGAAAATGATGACTTCCTGGTGCTCAAGTTTTGTTCATATATATATATATATTAAAGGCAACATACACTTTCATAGCCATAACTAATCGTGTTGTGACAAATATAGCCGAATTTTGAAAAATACACTCGTATAGCCATTCCGTCCAAAACTTTAACGGAAATCTCACAACTGTTGACTGGACTAACGGATGTTTGCAACGTGGCCTAGGTAATCTATGTGGCAGTACAGGTGGAAAGAGTTTAAAGAAAGATGAATTAAAAATAAAAGAAAATTGAAATAAAAAAGGAAGATGAATTAAAAACCCTTCCTCTACATATTCCCCGACCTTCCATTCCTCTTCTTCATACATCCTGGCAGATCGACGAACCCAACGACCTTAAAACACCACCATCCCCTCCATCGATCAACCCCTTCATACACTCCATATCACCCTTAACTTCCTTCCGTCAATTTCCCTCCGACGCAAGGCCAACAACAATCATCCCACTCCCGGTACGGCCAGCAAACGCCGTTGCCGATGAATCCTGATTCTCCAATCGGACTCATTCTTATCCCCCCCACAAAATAAATGAATCAGCTCCTCCAATCGGACTCATTTCTTATCCCACTCCCGGTACGGCCAGCCCACCGGTGTCACAAGCTTCCTCCGCTCATCCCCTAAAAAATCCCTAATTTCTCAAAGGAATTGTTCTCTTAGAATCAATTGAAACAAATCTCTCCAAATCGATCCCTCTCACTGCATTATCCCATCTCCCACAACACACCGAGAAAAAAGAAGGCGAAAACAAGAAAGTCATCACCCATGGCCGCTGTAGCTGCTGCTCTCTTCTTCCTGGTCCCGATTCGTCGGTCGACGACCTTCGCAGGGAGTTCGTCGGATTGGTGTACGGGCAGATGGCGTTGGTGTGGGGGTGGAACGGGAACGGGACGGCCCCGTGGGGATGCTGCTCGGGAAAGAGAGGGGGCTTTGAAGGGTGGAGGAAGGGGTCATGAATTTGGATCTGGTGGAGGGGAATTTGGAAAGGCAAGCGACTGGGAAAGACAAATAGTGGGAAAGCGATTTGGGGCAGGGTCGCAGGGATGAAGGAATAGAGAGAGAGAGAAAAAAAAAACTAAAATGATTTTTTCCTTTCTAATTTTTTATTTTAGTAAAATTATTTTTTAATTACTTTTAATATGAGGTGGCATGAAGATGTCCAGTTGGTGATGATGTGTCATCCAGGTGGCATCCACCTCAGCGACACGCAGAGGTTATTAACTACGTTTGTGATGGCGTTAAAGTTTGTAAGGAAAATGGCTAAAGTTGTCAAGCAAGTTTGAAAAAGTGGCTATACAAGTGTATTTTTCAGAATTTGGCTATATTTGTCACAACGCAAAAAGTTATGGCTATGAAAATGTATTTTGCCTATATTAAAAAAAAGAATGATTCCTAAACATTCTAGAAGCTTGGATTCCGTAAAATCAATCCCATCACAATCCCTACATAATTTCGGTATCTCAATCCCAATATTTCGGTATTCCAATCGGTACTTTGGTATCCCAATCGGTATTATCGAATACGAAATTAATTACATTTGCAATCAATAATTAAATATGCAAATTATATTTGTTTGTTTACTTTAGGGCAAAGAGACTAAGCAAAGAGTCTTGAGTTTACCTAGAGGTAGGACATGGATAAGGAGAATGTAGGAGAGGTGACACCTCAAATTCTTGTCATTGTTAATCTTTAGTTTGACCAATTGGAGTCCGAGAGACGACTAATACTAGTGTTTGCTTTTAGGTGTTATGAAAATAACAAGAGATTAGGTGAGAGACGAGAGTGATTAAAACTGGAAAGTCAAAATTGAGTTGGATGGAAGCTTCTAAGTTGTGAAAGAGTGAGGAATGACAAAATGTTGTGTGCTCTATTTCATTAATTTTTTAATTTTTGGTATTTCTCGATATTTTGCTATATACCGATCTCAATCTCGTAATCCCTAATACCGAATAGCACTCAAAATGAATCTCAATCCCTAAAAAATAAGCCGGTATTCGATAATATCAAATAGTGATAAATTCGATACGGTATTCGATATATCCCAAATATCAGTGCCAAACTTCTAGCTCTAGTTGGATTAGGAATGATTTAAAAAGACAACCAAGGAAAAAATAAATAGGTGGATTTCAATGATAAACATTCCGAAGTTTGGGGACCAAAAGGTAATGTAATTTCATTTTGCTATGACCAAAATGAATCAACGGTGGAGCTAAGGGGTTGTTTGGATGGGTGATTGGGTAATGAGTTATTTAATAGTACAAGAGAATTACGTCAAAATTAAAAATTAAAAAAAACTGGGGAAACAATGGGCGTGGCAAAATGAGTAAATGCACAAGAAGAAACAGCGGTAGAGATCAACACAGATCAAAAACTTCTTCAAGCACCTCGTTCCAATCGCAATCAATCCCATCGATCCATTGATCTACCTCTCGCCGGCGAGGTGTTTAAACTTCCGGCCGCCGCTCCGTTTTCCAAAATATCGAAATTGCGGGAAGAGATTAGGTTGATTTGAATGCCTTGGGAGACTTTCAGATAATTCTGCCAACAGCTTTAGGGCAATCGCAGGAAGCTAGAGGGAAAAGCCGCAATTGATCGAGTTCAAGGTGGGCTCAGAATGGACGGCATAATGAGCAAGCTGAGGAACTTAGATGCGTACCCGAAAATCAATGAGGATTTCTACAGTCGTACCCTTTCCGGCGGCCTTATCACCATCGCCTCATCTGTTCTCATGCTTCTCCTCTTCATAACCGAGCTTCGTGAGTTCAGCCTGCCTTTTATTTGCTTCTTCTTTTGAAGATTACTCATCGGCGATCCTCAATTCGCATGCTTTCGTAGCTTAGAGAATATTGTTGCGGTTTGTATCTCGGTTGCAATCATGCTTCTGCAAATGGGCGGCAGAAACTAGTTGACTTGACCTTCTGGGACTCCATTTTGGGGGTTTTAAGCGCTAAAAAGATTGGAATGATTTTGTTTGGCAATGCACATTTGCTTTAGATGTAGTAAGACCTCCGATTTTCGCTTATAAATTGTTAGTATGGCTCGTATCAAGAACCTGTAAATGCCAGCATGGTCTTGTTTCTGTGATCTCGTCCTGGATTTCTTTTCTGTCTATTAGGAATGGGTTTCAATCTTCGGTCGTCTAAATGTGCTTTGATGAATTCGAAAAGTATTATGCTTGTACAGTTGTACTCCACATTGACATGGGCTAATCCATCAATTGTTACCAGTGGCACCAGTTCAGAATGATTTAGGGGCACTGTTACTTGTTCCACTGGCTGCAGTTTTTTGGATTGAGTGATTATAGGCAAAAAAAAAAAAAGGAATCTTTAATATGATGCCTTCTGGATATGCAGCGCGAGTTCGTTGAGCTATGCTTGTGTTTTTAATTATGGGTAGGAGTGTGAAGTAACCTTCTGTAATCTGTTCTGCTGCTTTGATTGTTGGCCGAAGTCTATGATGACTATTTTATGAATGAGCCTTCTTCTACATAAATAGGGGTTCTTTTTTGTATTCGAGTATGGTATATTTTACTCTATCAGACTGATGCCTTGTAGAGTTTGTGAAAAGTTCATTGAAGCTACAGTTCTATGTTAGGATTTCATATAATCTTTTCATGCCCTGTTTCTTTCTGGCCATTGTTATTGACTTTGAATTAACCTTAGTCTAGGAAACTGCAAACTCTTTCATCCTTATTGTTCTGCTAGGAGATAGGAAGCGTTTCTTCTTGATAGTCTCAATGGTTGTATTGGCTATCTGCTAGTTGAAGTTGTACGTTGTCGATGTTAATGTGTTTGTAATCATCATAACTGAATAAAACTCATTTTTCGTTTCTGTAACCATCTTCATGGACTGTGAGCCTAATACTATACAGTGTTTTTTTCTTCTCAGTTCCAGAAATGGTTTGCGTTACTTTTGATTGTTAACTAGTCTAGCATCTTTTACAGGATTGTATTTGCATGCTGTCACCGAGACAAAGCTCATGGTCGATACTTCAAGAGGAGAAACTCTCCGTATCAATGTAATTTCTTTCTTTCTTTAACTATTAACTGTTAAGGAACTGATTTGTTCATTCAACATGTTGGATGTTTATTCGTCCTGTATTGTACTTTTCAATTTTCGCAAAACATACACTGGTACTTTTCGTGAAGTAGTATCTGTTGTCAAAATATCTTGTTTTTTACTTGCCAAAGTATCTCACTTGTTTATCATAATCCTGAAACTTTCAGTTTGATGTCACTTTTCCTGCCCTGCCATGCTCTATTCTAAGTCTTGATGCCATGGACATAAGTGGAGAGCAACATCTTGATGTGGTAAGTAACTGAACCTCTAGAACTTCTGGCGTGGTGATCTGGTTAGATATGGCACAAACACTATGTCTTGAGCTATCATTCCCAAGCCAATGGTGTCCTAATTTTCAATTTTCTGCAGAAACATGACATTATTAAGAAGAGACTTGACTCTCGCGGCAATGTAATAGAATCACGTCCGGATGGAATTGGTGCTCCTAAGGTTGGTAGTCTCATATATACATGTATCTTTAATATCTTTATATGGACATAAGTCACAATCCAGAGCACTTTCTTGCTAATTTGGATGTGTTCGTTAGACTTGTTTAGCATGTAGAGATTAAACCATGTGTTCCTGTCCCCTTTTACATGTCTGTTTTTGATTGGGTATTATTGCTCTCTGCAGATTGAAAAACCTTTGCAGAAGCATGGTGGGAGGCTTGAGCACAACGAAACTTATTGTGGTTCATGCTTTGGTGCTGAAGAGGTAATCATTGATATCCTAAGTATTAGAAATAGATACTTCATCAATCATTCATCTCTTCTAGGTGACTTGTATTAAGAGTTACCATTATCTTACATGTGCTTCAAGCGTTACTTGGAAGCCGCAATATGTTGCACCTGGCTTTCGTGCCTCCCTGCAACCTAGGAAAAAATCCTTCATCTGGGGACTCTCCGAATCTACGCAGACTTTATGCTTAATCGTTGTCTGCAGACTTTTATGCTTAAGTGTTGTCTGCATTTTAGAAGCCTCTTCAATTACCACTCTATAAGCATCTACATATCTAGTGTTACTATCCTGTCTTCGTGTGCTTATTCTGAGAACATATCCTGAACATGTCAAGTCCCGTTTGATTTTGCATATCATATGTGCTCTTAAACTACTTCTAACTCTCATGTTGCAGTCAGACGACCATTGCTGTAATAACTGTGAGGACGTTCGTGAAGCATATCGAAAGAAGGGCTGGGCGCTGTCAAATCCAGATTTGGTTGACCAGGTGTGTTTGTTAGTAACTTTCTGGAATAATTCATCTAGAGAATCCACATTCAACTTATGCGCAGTATTCGTTTCTTTATTCTTTCAACGCTTAGAACTAGTGTCTTATATATGCTCCACATAGAAACCAACAAGAAAAACTAGTTCTGTATTTCCATTTCAAGTTCAAATACATGTGTGACATATCTCGTCGAAATCCTAAACTAGGATTACTGTTATTTTGTGTGATTTTTATTACTCTTCCTACTTGTTTAGCATCTTAATGTTCCCTGAATCCCTGTCAGCTGTGTTATTGTGTTTTCATCCTGGTATTCCAACAAAATGCTTCATTATTATGTGCTAGGTTTTGTTTTGAGTAGTGGAGTCATGACTCATGACTAGCTGCCTTCTAAATTTATTGATTATTAGTTAGAGTTGTGTGCATATATGTGGCAGTCACCCGTAAAAGTTGCTTGGGAGTTTGTTTCATGGAAGGACTAAACTCCTCTAAGCTTTTTTCTCCGTTATTAGCAATTGGAGATTCTGGGATCCTCTTTAGAAATGAGCTCTACCCACTGCCATCAGAGCTAGGAAGAAAAGACTACCTTCAGTAATACCATGTACCATCACAGCCATGTCAACGGAGCCTGTATCAAATTCTTATGTTGTCTTGTTAAGATGAATTAATGTGTTCAAGGAGAGAAACCCTTGATTGAACTGTCTTGGGCCTGCCCAGCTCTTTATCTGTCGCAAAGAATGGTACTAGTGAGTATTCTTGTTTGGCAATACCTGTGTTACTTAACCCTAGTATGCAAACAAAGTGCCAACATGTCATGTTTGTGAATGTTTCTGGATGATTTGTGTGGCTAATTTTGTTTCATGTTAGAGCAGCCAGCTATTAATGTCGTTAACAGGAAGAATTCCACCTCGTGTTTTGCTTGTGATCTCAGTGTAAAAGAGAAGGTTTTCTTCAGAGAATAAAAGAGGAAGAAGGTGAAGGATGCAATGTGTATGGATTTCTGGAGGTTAATAAGGTGGCTGGTAATTTCCATTTCGCACCAGGGAAGAGTTTTCAACAATCAGGAGTTCATGTTCATGATCTCATGGCATTTCAGAAAGACACTTTCAATGTAAGTCAAAATTCTGCACTTAGTTTCTCTTTTATCCATGTAACTAGAAGGGTATCACTTGAAATTGTCCTCGTCCTTGTCCTTGAGCAAGCTTTATTCATTCGCTAAGTTGATTTACACATTTCTGAAAATCTGCGCAGGTTAGTCACCATATCAATAGGCTTAGTTT